GCTTTCACTCCTGGCTCCTGAAGCAGATTTCCTCTTCAACTCATGGTACAGGAAGGCAAATTCAAGGGTAGTATTATGGGTGGGACAGAAGTGAGGTGGCACCAAACAATAAACAATGACTAGACGTGGCCTGTCCCCATGGTGCCGCTCCTAGAGTGCCTCTCTCCTGTCCACAGTGAAGGGACCCCGGACAGGGGCAGCTCAGCAGGCCTCACCGCCCCCACCTCCTCCTTACTCTCCACAGGTACCCGAAGCTATTGCCAAATGCAAGCGAGCTGGGATTACTGTCAGAATGGTGACAGGTGACAACATCAACACAGCCCGGGCCATCGCCACCAAATGTGGTATTATGACACCTGGGGATGACTTCTTGTGCTTAGAAGGCAAAGAATTCAACCGACTTATCCGCAACGAGAAGGGAGAGGTGGGTCCCGGCTGGGACGACCCAAGGCCTCATTTGGCACCTGGTTGTGGGGGGGCGGGGGGGGCGGCTCTCACATCTGGGACACGCATCTGGGACACGGGAGAGAGTGGCTGGGTTTTGGTGTTCTTGTTTGTTTGTTTGTTTGTCTTGAAGATCTAATTGGCTTTATTAAATGGTTTCATGAATTGGGCAGCATCCCATATAGCAAGTAGGGGGAGCTGTGAGGAGTTGGACTGCAGGTGCGTGGTTTTTAAACTAAAATCTATTCAGAGCGAACCTTCTACCGGGACTGCTCAGGTGGGAAAACTGGGAGTTTTCTTTCTTCTCTTTATCCTCTGTCATAAGCTGTCTTTTGAGACAGTGTCACTGACTTCTTACGTCTTCCTGATTGCGTTCAGTCATGGGATGCTTTCGTACTGATTCCCCTCCACCTCACCCTCCTGTGTCACCGCCCTGTGACTAGTGGTGGGTGGCACGGATCTGCAAGAGGATGTGGTCTGGGTGTGGAGCAGACCAGAGCTTCCTGGTCTGCACAGAAACCAAGCTGGAGACCTCAGAAGCACCTTAGCCAACAGTGGGCCCTGGCCCACCTCCTGTCAAGGGTCCAAGAAATAGGGCATTGGCTCCCCAGTAGGGAACTGGGAGGGAAGTGAAGAAATGCAGGGCCTGAACGGTCACCATCAATAAATCTGCCCCTGGGGACGGAGCTGGCTGTTTCGTCTCCCCTGGAGGCCGTGGTAACACCCACCACGGGCTGTGGCAGGCCAGCTCTCCCAGAATCTCAGAGCGCAGAGAGATGTAAACTTCACCTGGATGGCTGTTCTGAGCTTGACTGACCCAGTGTGGTCTGGTGTTGGCAGGTAGAGCAAGAGAAACTGGACAAGATCTGGCCAAAGCTTCGAGTCCTGGCGCGATCATCCCCCACGGACAAGCACACATTGGTAAAAGGTGAGCTCGGCTCCTGACCGGGTGCCTGGGGCAGATGATGGCCCGCTGGGCAACGAGACAGAAAACAACAACCACTGGCCAAAGCAACTCTCTTGTCTGGAATAGGAAGGTCCCAGGAGAGCTGCCCAGCTCATGGCGGGGCGGGGAGGGGGCAGACAATTTAGCAAACATCTACAAAGAAGACCTGTAATAAAGTTGTCTTTAAACATCGTATCTTGTTTGCCAATATTACTGTGTACTAGTCAGAGCGGGTTAAATTGTTCCCATTTTGCCAATGAGGAAGTTTGAGGCTGAGAAGACAAAGAACTTACCCAGATTGCCCCGCTGGTGAGCGGAAGTGGTACAGTTCAACCCCCAGGTCTCTGTCTTCAAATCACCCGGCGCTTTCTCCAGCACATCCTGGCCACCTTCAGGCCCCCGCTAGGCTACCTGACGAGGACAGACTCAGAGCTCCGAGCGCCACCAGGAAACAATTGACAGCCTTTGGGTGATCCTATAGAGCCTCCAGCATCGGGAAGAAAGGAAAGAACAAAGTAGAAAGGGAGGTGGTCCACACACTCACACTCACACACGCACACCCTTCTATGGCACCAGCCTGGACTCCAGAGAAAGGGCATCCAGGTTCCATGTATGTGTGTGTAGATGTGTGCACACGTGCATGTGTGTACCTGCTGGTGTCCCGCTCTGACACCCTGATCTCCTGTCCTCTCCTTGGCCAGAAGCAGCCAGCCTCCTGGCAAGTGTAATTTTCCACTTTTACTCTTCCCTCCAGTCGTTTGCTTCCTGCTCCTGCTCCCGCTCACGTAGCACACAGCCTCGTTGGCCGAGATAGGATGGAATGATGGCTGGGCTTCACCCGCTGGCTGTGGGACCCTGCAAGGCCTTTCCCCTCTCTGGGTTTCAGTTTTCTCATCTGTAAGGTGGTAGGAGTTGCTCAGAGCATGGATCTCTCTGGATCCCCTCCAGGCCTCTGATTGTATCATGCCTGCGGCTTCGGGCTGCCTGTTACTGGACCCTTGGCTTCTCCCCCTTCAAGGTGCTGTGCCTGCTGGCGCGGGAGGCTGAGACCCTGCTCCCCCCACCACCACCAGGGGGCAGGAGAGCACCGTCCGCCAGGTGCCCAGTCCACCAACATCAGCCCCGTGGGGCCTGGTCTTCCCCCTTCTTGTGGTTGTTTTCAGCTAGTAGCTGGACTTCGATGTATAAATAGCCTGTGTTTCTTGCCTGCTGCCAGGGTGAAGGCTGGACGAGGCGCTCCTCCAGCCCTGCCTCTGACCTTCAGACAGCTGAACAGAACAAGGCAGACCAGTGGCAGCTCCTCAGGAGCTGACAGATCTGTCGGCGCTCAGAAGGGGGGGTTACACTTTCAACATGCTATAAAGTGAGCTTGTCACCCACAAAAAAAGAAAAGAAAAGGAAGGGAGGTGGTAGCAGGGACCAGGGAAGAAGAGCCACAAAGGGCCTCGGTGGGGAGCAGAGGGCTTCCACCCGGCCTGAGGTGGTGCCTGTGGACTCACCGGCTTGTACTGTTTTCCCAGGCATCATCGACAGCACTGTTGGGGAGCAGCGACAGGTGGTGGCTGTCACTGGTGATGGCACAAATGATGGGCCTGCTCTGAAGAAAGCAGACGTTGGTTTTGCCATGGTAAGCAGCTCGGCACGCTGTCCCTGCCTGCAAGCTGCCTTCTCCACCCGGAAGCCAGGACGGGCCTCTTGCAGCCTGCCGCCTCCAGCACCTTCACCCCCTCCCTGTGCTCTTTTCTCTGACACCATCTTGCCTGCTGACCTGGCTGGTAAAAGTCTGTGTAATGGGAGACCCATCAGGTGTGAAGACTAGATGACCCAGGCAGGGAAATCATGACGCCTCATTACCATGAACGTGGTGATGTTCTAGGCAGAGCATAGAACATTCAGGTTCCCTATGAAGCATGTATGCCATGGTCAGCACTGTCCATCCCTCTGCTTTTCACTTGTGAGACCAGGAGCATCAGAATCACTTGGAAAGTTCATTTAAAATCACGTATTACAAGGTTCCGCAAGTGGATATCTTGATTCAGTAGCATCTGGGTCGGTCCCAGAGATGTTTGGCGTTTCCTAACAGCCACGCTTGTTGATTCTGATGTTGCAGCAAATGTGGAAGCCCCCAGATGGCCAGGGACGTCCTCACACCCAAGTGGCTTGTGATTGTAAGCCTCCCGTGTGTATTGAACTATTGGTGATTTTTAAGCAGTGGAAGGAGATTCAAGAAGTAATCTGTCTTTACGGTGCTCCCTTTAACAACAACAACAACAAAAACATCGTTTCTAGGAAGTTTCAAGAAGATACAGAAGTAGAGGGAATAGTTTAATGAATCCCCATGTACCTGTCACCCAGCATTAATTATCAATACCTGGCCCAACTTGTTTCACTGAATGTCCCCCCCTCCCCCACTTCTCCCATCTCCAGCTGAACTGTTCTGAAGCAAATAAAGGACATCACATCATTTCATTTGAAAGAATGTTAGTATACGCCTCTGATAAGTGTGCATCGAGGACATACATCTAGAAGAATCATACCACCAGTCATCTAGTCCAGCCCCCCATTGCCCCAAGTGCTTTATAAATTCTCTTTCTTCGTCCAAATCAGATCTAAATAAGATCCATACACTGCAATTGCTTGCTGTATCTCTTAGAGCTCTTAATCTATAGCAGGAGTTTTTGAAGTGTGCTCCTCCTCCCAGCTGGGCCTGGAAACCTATAGAAATGCAGATTCCCAGGCCCACCCCAGCTCTTCTGGATCTGACAGCTCAGCGTGGGGGCCCAGCAATCTGGGCTTTCACAAGCCCTTGACATTTCTGTCACACACTAAAGGTTGCGAACCGCTGGTCCTATAGGATCCTTGTGTCAGGGGTCCCCAAGACCAGCCTTTACATTTGGGGATTCACTGGATGGACTCATGAGACTCAGCATAGAGTTGTACTCATGACTAAGATTTATTGCATGGGTACGGTAAGGGAGAAGTCTGGAGGAATCCACATGCGGGCTTTCTGCTCTCTCCCTCAATGAGGGCTCACAGCACACTCTTCCCCCGGCAACACACGTGTGATGTTTCTACCCGGGGAAGCCCATCAGAGCTCCAGTGCCCGAAGTTTTTATTGGGGTTGGTCATATAGTCACTTTTTGCCTAATACGTGCTAAGATTCCAGACTCCTAGGGGGTGCCTGGGTGGCTCAGTCGGTTGAGCATCCAACTCTTGGCTTTGGCTTGGGTCATGATCTCAGGATCGTGAGATCGAGCTCTGCATTGAGCTCCACACTCAGCAGGGAATCTGCTTGAGATTCTCTCTCTCTCTGCCCCTCCCCCCATTCACACATGCTCTCACTCTCTCTCTGTCAAATAAATAATTAAATCTTTTTTTTTTTTTTTAAAGAGAGATTCCAGATTCCTAGAAGGAAAGCAGGTGTTCAAGAGAAAACATATTATTCAGGCACAGTCTAGGCACAATGAACCACTAATTAATTTTCAGTTAATTGTTGACTGGGAGCATTCTAAGAGCCAAGGTCCCAGATGCCAGCTCAGGGCCAACCTCACAAATAGCCCTTTCTAGGGATAACAGCACACTATGTTAGCTCTCCTGCCCAATCCCCTCCATCTTTTTTCCTAGCTATTTAATTTTGAAGGAACCAGGCTGGTTGAATACATAGAACAATGCATAGCATGGATTTTGTTGATTGTATTCTTGTCATATATAATCAGATTCTAGATCCCATCTTTCATTAGGGGCTGCAAAATAACGTCCAGATTTTCTCTATTTATTAACTTGAAGACTTCTATAGAAAGAAACTTGCGCTCAAGGATTATTTGGTTACTCTGAGGTTGAGGTTCAGGTTCCTATATGAAAGGCAGCTAAATGCCCGATCCTTTTTCTTTATTTACTAGTTTTCAAAATGAGTTGACTTTTTAGGATACTCCAAAGATGACCAATGAATTATACATATATATGTTTTTAAATTTTATTTTTTAAGTAGGCTCCATGTCCAACACGGGGCTTGAACTCATAACCCCAAGATCAAGAGTTGCACATTCTACTGAGTGAGCCAGCCAGGCACCCATGAATTATATTTTTTAAATTAACTCTACTAAGTTACTCCACTAAAAACAGTTCATTGTTTATTTTTTTAATATCATTATGAACTCACAGATTTAAGTATATTTGATGTGTTTCAATCCATTGCCTTTGTTATTATTTTGACGTTCACATTGACTTGTCAGTAGCCTCATGAGTACTGCTGGGTCCTTTAGATACAACCCCAGTTGTCCTTAATACCTTACTTGGCTTCTGGCATGATAAGATATTCCAGAATCATCATACATATTTCTCATCCTAGATCTGGAATCATCCATTTCTCAAAGAGTCCTGCTTTTTAGTAAGAAATGGTACTTAGAGACCACAATCTGAATGTCGGGGTGTTCCTTACTACCAAGTAAATCATTGTTTCTAGATCTTTTCAATGGTTTTGGTCAAAGCTAGGAAATATATCTTTTATGTCTCTTTTTTGTTTTTGCATTTCTTTGTTTTAAAGATAAAATACTTCATGAGTCCATATTGGTATTTTTAATTCAAATTTAGAATTATAGAACTCTAACTTACTACTTTTATTTAACTTCCCTAATTTTATGTTTATATCTCTTAAGCTGAAAATTTTGATTCCTAATGGCATTAACATAATCCTTACTGGTTTTACCCTAAAATATAAGTAACAGTCTCAAAATAGCAATAGTAATACAATTACTCTACAAAAAACAGTTCAAGATTTCTCTTGTAGTTCTTTTTATCCTATAGGTATACTCTGCTGGGTTCTACCATCAAGGTACTATGTTTTTTTTAAAAGCCATTTGCAATATCTTTCCTTTGTGTGATTGTGCTACCCACTGGTTATACCAGTTTGTTTATACTATGTTGCTTTCCATTTTAGAGATTGCTTCTTTTTTTTAAGTAGGCTCCACACTAGGCCCCAATGTGGGGCTCGAACTCATGACCATGAGATCAAGACCTGCGCTGAGATCAAGAGTCAGACACTTAACTGACTAAGCCACCCAGGCGCCCCTAGACATCGCTTTTTAAACTTACTTTTGATTTATACTCATATAAAGTAGTTACATAGTTCTAAAGTCAAATATACAAAACAAAGTCTATTCCTAGAAATCCAGCTTCTATCCCTATCACCTCCACCCTATTGCCTCCCCTCTTAACCCTAAGTAACATTTCTTTTGTTTTTGGTGTATCCTTCTGTTTGCCTCTTTAAAATATAATCAAACGTATGATGTATTTGTATCCTATCCTCTTAGATACGTGATACTTATCTATACTGCCTTGTATACTTATCTACACACATACCATACACTCTTTTTTTTCACATTCTGTAGTAGAAAGTATATATAGTCCTCCTTTCTTTTTTTTCCCCCTCCTTTCTTTTTCCAGTGCATGTGACACATTGTGTGGATGTGTTAGAGAACTTTTTGATGGGGAAACTGAATTGTATAATCTATAACATATTTGTTCATTGCAATCTGGATAGGAAAATATTACTACCAGGTAAAGAGAACAAATCATATACTACTGCAAGCCAAATCAATGAATAAGCTCCTCTGTGGTTATAGGCTTTGTGAGACATGGAATAGAAGTAGGGGCTGGGGTTCTTAGGGATGGTTTTGCGTCCCATAGACCATTAAAGATAGACAAGGTTTAAACAGATGAGGAAGGAGGATGTTTCAGGTTTAGGGAAATGGTGTAAGTAGAAGTCTAGACTCTAGAAGTGAAGGAGAGATTCAGGGAATTGTGAATAAACCAGTGGGTTTTGAGCAGAAAGATTATATAGGAGCAGACTGGAAAATGAATCTGAGTTCACCTCTTGAGGGCTCTGACTACCAGTCTAGAAATTTTACTGTTTCTGTAAGCACAGCTTTCAACCATTGTCTATTGAGAAACCTTTAGTGGTTCCCCAGGAACAGGAATTTGAACAAGCATAGGACATCTGAACTTCACTGCCAGACTACTCCTGCCAGAAAAAAGTGTAAGGTGACTTAGAGGTATGGGGGAGACAAGGACTTAAGTGAGACACTGGCCATGGCAAAAGAAATATAAGAATTTAGGGGCAAAAAAAGAATTTAGAGGCTCCTGGCTGGCTCAGTTGGTGGAGTGTGTGACTCTTGATCTTGGGGTTGTGAGTTCGAGCCCTACATTGGGTGTAGAGATTACTTCAAAATAAAATCTTGAAAGAGAAAGAGAGAGAGAGATGGAAGGAAGGAAGGAAGGAAGGGAGGGAGGGAGGAAGGAAGGAAAAAGAAAGAGGGAAGGAAGGAGAAAGGAAGGAAGGAAGGAAGGAAGGAAGGAAGGAAGGAAGGAAGGTTAACAAAAAGATTAAGAAAGAAAGAAAGTGTAGGGATTTGGAGGGAGAATAGGACATGGGTTCCCTATCCTTTCCTTCATTTCCAAGGTGGGGGAGTAGCAAAGAAGGGAGAAAGGAATATCAAAGATAACTCTCATTTCCGGTTTGGGTTCAGGAGTAAGATGGTGGCATCAGGCCCTAGCCCTGCTTTCTGTGTACTGACAGCGACACATTTTCTCCGGAGGAGAGGAGAACTCAAAATACAGTGGCTCTGTCATTGGCATTAGCGTGGGGAGTGCGCCCTCTAGTGTTTTTGGCCGGGTCGGAAGCTTCTTGGAGGTCTGGAAATGCAGTCTGGGTTCAGAACGTAGATAAACTCTGCTTTATCCACGTCCTCACTGCTCTCCTTCCCTCTCTTACTCAGGGTATTGCAGGCACAGACGTAGCAAAGGAGGCATCAGATATCATCCTAACAGATGACAACTTCACCAGCATTGTGAAGGCAGTGATGTGGGGGCGAAACGTCTATGACAGCATCTCTAAGTTTCTGCAGTTCCAACTCACTGTCAACGTGGTAGCCGTGATCGTGGCCTTCACTGGAGCCTGTATCACTCAGGTGAAGGGAGTGCAGGGGGGCCGGGAGGAGAGGGATGAGGCGGGGGCTAGGGAACGTGGGGAGTGGGGTCCTGGCTACTGAGGATTAAGGACAAGAGTTTCCCCAGGGGGGTTGGGGCAGGAGTTAGCTCTCCTAGGTCTCAATCGGCCCATGCGGGGGAATGAGAAGTTATCTACCGCTAATTTAGCACATGCACGTTAGCCACTATGATGAGTACTTCTGTGGTCTTCAAAAACAACCTTGCAAAGTGGGTATTCTCCCCATTTTACAGGCGAGGAACCCAAGGCTCAAAGAGGTTAAGTAACTTTCTCAAGGGCACTCAGCTAATAAATGGGCAGATCCAAAGTCTAGGTGGATAGCAGGAGCTAGGCCGTTGCAGGGGCAAAGCTGAGGCTGATGAGTGAGGTAGGGGCTGGTTTCCAAGGAAAGCTGAAAGGACTGGTGCTTCTTCCCACCAGGATTCCCCACTGAAAGCCGTGCAGATGTTGTGGGTTAACCTAATCATGGACACTTTTGCCTCATTGGCCCTGGCCACGGAGCCTCCTACAGAGTCTCTGTTGAAGCGTCGCCCCTATGGCCGAAATAAGCCTCTGATCTCACGTACTATGATGAAGAACATCTTGGGCCACGCTGTCTATCAGCTCACCGTCATCTTCTTCCTCGTCTTTGCCGGTGAGCCAGGGGTAGGGCTGGGGCTAGGGACAGGGGTCGGAGTGCAAAGCAGAGATGGGGGCAGAGAATGGCCCAAGGGAGCAAGCTGAGCACGGGACTGGGGATGGCAGCAGCTTCACCCACCGGGGGTGTCCCTTGCCCCGCTATGTGGCGCATCATGCTATTTGACATGCTGCTCTTGAGCATTTCACACGGTGGCTTTCTGTCGTTTTTATTATTTTTTAAAGATTATAAAACTAAAGCTCGGGTCACGTGGTGAGTAAATCGTGGCACTAAGATGGAGCCTATTGTCTGCCTGACCCTCGTGCAGCTTTCCCCCCACGCTGCACCGGGAGAAGTCAGTCACTGGAGCGGACGCGGAGAGAGAGTCAGATATGCTGAGACCAGAGCTAACACTTCAAGTGTTTGATAACCAGTGTAGCTCAGATCCTGACCCATTAGAATGGACACCAGCCGTAAGCCACCAGTTTGGCCATACCAACGTGCCGTTCTGACTCAACCTGAGCGCTCGCCGACACCATACGTGACCCGCTAATGCTTCCTTTGTCCCCACTAGGTGAGAAATTCTTTGACATTGATAGTGGGAGGAAGGCGCCTCTACACTCGCCCCCCAGCCAGCACTACACCATTATTTTCAACACCTTTGTGCTGATGCAGCTCTTCAACGAGATCAATTCCCGCAAGATCCACGGGGAGAGGAACGTCTTCGCGGGCATCTTCCGCAACCTCATCTTCTGCGCCGTGGTCCTGGGCACCTTCATCAGCCAGGTGAGCCTCTGGCTGGAGTCGGGGCAGGAGGGCTGGGTGGCAGAGGTCAGAAGCAGGGAACAGCGTTCCCTAGGTACCCAGGAGAAGGGGGGAGGGAAGGATGGGGACTCGGGCTGCAGATCGAATGCTTTTGGATTCCCAGTTGGCCTCCATTTGCACATTGCTCCGGAACTGGAGCTTGCTGGGTCAAGTGCTCTGGTGCAAGGCAACACGTTGGGGGCAAATAAAATAAGATTGGTGGGGTCCTTTCCTTGTCTTCCTAAAGCACAGAAATTTCAGAGTGGCCAAGAAGAGGGTCACTCCCCGCGGTCCTTTCCATGCCTCCTGCCAGCGTACGTGAGACGTGCGGGTACGTGCCGTAGGGCTCTGTCCTTGTCCCTGCCCCTTCGTTCATGAGGGGCCCCTGGTAGAAAACGCTGCGCAGTTCGCAGACAGAGAGGAGTGGGGCATGGGGCACAGGCGGTGGACACATAAGCCTCTCGCAGAACTGAGGTCAAGGGCATGGCTGCCCTGGGGTAAAAGGATTGGGTCCCTTCCTCCTTGCCCCAGTCCGAGGTACACTGAACACCTGCAGATACAGGAGACTCTGAGCTCGCCCTATACCAAGGGCTTCTGCCCTCCCCAGCCGGGGTCCCCCTCATGGGCCCCCCTCTTCAATTCCTTCTCTCCATCTCTGCGCCTTCTCTTGGCACCTTACCCACTGGCTGTAGTCACGAGAAGCCTCCAGCCCCCCTGGATCTGCCCCTCTTACCTTAATAATATTCATAGTAAGTAGCTCTGTCTCCCCCTCAGGGTCTCTAGAAAGACTGTGTCTGTCTTCTCTTCTCCCCTTTCAGATTTCTTCTTTCTCCTCCTCCGACCAGCAGATCAGGACTGGCACCACAGGGATCATGGGCCAGGGCTCTGACGTCGCTTTGGTAGCCTCGGCTAGAGGGCTAGCTGCCCGTGACTCGCCTCCCTGATGGTGGGCTGCCTCTTTCTCTGTTCTAGATTCTCATTGTGGAATTTGGGGGTAAACCCTTCAGTTGTACGAAGCTCACCCTGTCTCAGTGGTTTTGGTGTCTCTTCATTGGCATCGGAGAGCTGCTGTGGGGCCAGGTGAGTACCAGCAGGCTCGCCCCATGTGGGTGCGTGGCCAGCACACTCTCTCTCCTCTGGAGGAGATTGGACATGCGACGGCGGCACCTCCCAGCTCCTCACCAGCATCTTCTGCTTCCCTCCCCTTCCTCCCCCCACTTTTTGAGGTTTTCCTGTCTTGCAGGATCCTGGAGTAGCATGATCAGTGCCCACCATTTCAGAGGCTCTGGATCTCTTCTCTAACCATGCCTAGAGGCAGGCAGATCCCTTAGCGTCTCTGAGATGGGAGTGGAAATTTTCAATGGAACTTTGCTAAAAAGAGAAAAACAAAATTAAGGGTCTTAGAAGTAGAAGTTTACAGAGCAGAAGTCTTTATTTTAATGAAGCCACAGTCTGGCTGTGAGCTGCTGCTCTGACCTAGTTTAGGGCTCCCCTACCCCTCATGTTCACCACGGCCTTACTGAGTTGACTGGGTTGAATGGCTGACTCTCACCTTAGATAAATCTAGACCCACCAGGTCGCTAGAAAAGCAATGTAGCACCCAGTTCAGAGCATGGACTCTGGGACCGGCTACCCGGGTTTGAATCCCACATCTCCTTTCTACAAGTTGAGTCACTTTGAGCAAGTGCCTTAACCACTCTGTGCCTCCTCAGTCTCCTCAAGTTAGGAGAACAGGATCATTGTTCATCGTTGTTAATCAGCCAATCCGTTACGACACAGAAATGACTTAGAACAATGTCTAGTACCCTCTAAGTACACAGTAAAAGTTAGCTATTAACATGATAATAGGATCAGGTCTGGTAAGTTTTGTTCCTTCCCAGATACCACTTTGCACATCCCCCTCATCCTCAGCTCTGAGCCAGACTAAGCTCTGCTTTACAGACCTCCAGTCTCTACTGATGGGCACCTAGCCACCTGGGTAATGGCTTTGCTCTAAGTGGCCCCAGAGATCCTTCCCTGGGACTGCAGACCTTCCCCATATACCTGCTAATTGTTTCTTTCCTACGTCCCAGATGCCTCCCTGATCAATTGCTGTCCCAGTTCCTTCCATGAGTCCCTCCACCCTGTTCTGTTTGGTGGTGTTTCTTTACCATGGGTCCCTTTTACACCTGGGTGAAGCTTGGTTGTTTCACCAGCTGTCTGAAAGTCCCGTCTGGGTCTAGTCTCACACATGGCCACACAGCCTTGATGCTAGAGACCAGCCTTCCTTCTGCATCACAGCAGCTCCTTCCAATCATCCAAAAGCAGATATCCTTCCCATTTCAAAATCCTTGACTCCATGTTGGACTGCTCATACAGTCCCTCTCTCATCCCAGCCCTGTCTACTCCTCGTCTGTGTGTCAGGGAGAACTGATTGACTGAGCTTCTTGAGTGACTTATTTTGAATTGCAAGCCCAACCTCCTGCCCGTGTCTGATAATACTTGTGTATCCCTTCTTCCCCGGCCTGTCTCACCCACTTCCTCGCTCCAAGCCCAAGAAAACCTCTAGTATCCTTTCACCCTGGTTTTGTAACACAGGAATTACTTTGCGCATGGTAACTAGAAGAGGGTCCTTCCCTTCTGACACTTCCCTTCCCTTTGCCCATACACTTGCAATGGGATCATCCTCTCCTATCCCCAGACTTGTTTCCCCCCAGGCTCTGGTCCCTGTCCCTTCTTACCATGTGCCATGCATTATAGTTCTACTTCCCTTAAGAGACACATGGCAAAATGGAAATGAAGAACTGAGACAGAAGGAGAATCAAGTATATAACTAACTAGGCAGATGGCTGGCCGCACATGCAAATGTCAGTTCTCCTTCGTGTGTCCACAACTACAGAAAACCTCCCTGACGGCCTGCCATTTGGTAGGCCCTGAGGAGTGCTTGCCTGGCTAGGTTGGCACCTCTCCTGCTGCCCCCCTCAATGGGTGTTGGGGCAAAGAGTGACCTACGCAAGGGCCTGACCCCATGTGAGCTGAGGGACAGCCCTCTCACCCTGATTCTGGTGTCTCCCCTTTTGCTGCACCTGTTCTCAGATCATCTCCACGATACCTACCCAATCCCTGAAGTTCCTAAAGGAGGCTGGGCACGGCACCACCAAAGAGGAGATCACCAAGGACGCAGAGGGGCTGGACGAAATTGACCATGCAGAGATGGAGCTGCGCCGAGGCCAGATCCTCTGGTTCCGGGGCCTGAACCGTATCCAGACTCAGGTACTCTGATAGTGGCCTGTCCCCCTGCCAGGAGAAGACATCTCTCCATGTTGGGAAGTGTGGGAGGGGCAGCCGCTCCTGGTGGCCAACATCTCTTCCCTCCCTAAGGCTCACTGCCGGTGGGCAGCCCGAGCTCCCTAGCTCCAGGGGCAAGCTGCCTGGGCTTCTCTGAGAGGAGAGGAGTCATAGGGCCCAGAGCACCGGACGCAAACTGGTAGCATCGTCCTTTAGCTTCCAGTCGGTGCTAAAGCCCATTTTGCCACCCTCCCTGCGGCCAGCAAGCTTCCTGTGTAAGGTCTCTTGCAAGCACCAGACCTGACGTCAGGGTGGGAGATGTTCGGAGTCTATCCCTACCCTTCAGGAGGAAGGAACTAGACAATAGCCCTAAGCCAGCATCGCCAGCGTACACTTTGTATGCGTCCCCAAGCTGCTGCGCGGGTAACACAGCCCTTTATCGGAGGGGTCTTTGTAAAACTCACCCTCTCATATCTTCCCCACTCACACTTTAAGGCCACGGTGGGGAATCTGACAGCTCAGTGTGTATAAATGACAAAAGTCTCTCAATGCCTGAGTATCTTTTGCAGGATTCAGATTTGCTTCCCCAAAAGGAAGAAGCTATAATTTCCTCAAGCCTTTTCCCTTCTCGCAATTTCTGAAATGACATAGACGGCTGCTCTTAAGCCCCCTGCCTGTGGAGCCCTACAGTAACGTTTTTCTTCCCACTTTCCATGCAGCAACTGTAACCACCTGCTCCTGGGTGGGCGGGCTGGTCTAGGCCCTGGTCATTCTATCATGTTCCCTGTTCTTGCCCTATATGCCTCTGTTCTGAGTCCTGAGATTTCCCGTCTCCAGAGAGCAGGCCTATTCCTCTCTACTGGTTGGCTGGAGATCCCAGAAACAAGTTCCACTCTCAAAAATTAGCTGCCGATGGCGTAGAAAGTTCCCTAGTCAAGCCCACCTCGTTCAGTCATAGGGAAGAGAGATCAAATGAATCCTCACCACTGCATACCTGCTGGGAACTTGTCCCCCATAGGCAAGACGGTGATGGAAGTGGGAAGGCAGGGCTAGTTAGGGAAGCACTGGGGCTCCTTTCTCCTCTCTCGGGTTCCTCCCCCCAGAGAGGGAAGCTCCCCAGGGCCTGCAAACCACCTCCCCCACCCCACCCCCCCACCACTGGCTCTTGTCTCTAAAGCCCCGGTGCTTTCCTTCAGGTCTGCTCCTTTCAAAATAACCTGTCTGCTTTTCTCCCTTCAGGGTCACTGCCTCCTCTTCTCCTATGTGATATTGTTTTTTCCCTAGCCCAGGATTCCCTGGTTCCAGCCTCTCCTTGGCCCCTCACCAGTCTTCCGTCGCGGGGGGCTGAGATTCATGGATCTCCCTTCCCCTCTACTCCCAATTCCCACTCCCTTGACTCTATACCCCTGGGTTCGGATGCACGACCTGCACAGTTTTCACTGTGGAAGTGGGGGCCTTGTGACGCGCACAAGCTCAGGAAAGTACCTTCCCCGTCACGGTCCCCCATCCCCGTCGCGGTCCCCCATCCCCATGTGCAGCCCCTTCCCTCCCACAGGATCAGGCCCCTCCTTCCCCCGGAACTAAAAACTATATAACGTGATGAAGGGATGGTAGTTTAGCTCAGACTTTGGTCTGAATCCGGAAACCAACCCTAAACATTCTGTGGCTTCTCCGGAAGCTTTATAAATAAGAACAACTGTCTGTCTCCCAAGGTGCCTGTGTTGTTACCTTCCCACCTGGGGAAGCAAAGCGAAATGAATGGAGTCGGCCCCTGCTATTAAGCCTGTGGGCGTTTTTTAAGATGGTTCTACCAGATCCTGAAGGATAGAGGAATTCCTTTTGATTTGTTCCTTGTCACTTAGGGGTCGGAGATCAGGACAGTAGGTCTGTCCCAGGCCCCAGACCAAGGCCGTGATTGGTAACCAAACGGCACAAATCACCTCTGTGTCTGAGAAGTAGGACACAGAGAGCCAGAGACCACTTGCTAGACTGTAGCTACTGACCACCACCGCCAACCAGCACGTCTTGCTCCCCCGCCCTCAGTCTAGCTACCGAGTTATTGTCAGACGTTGCCAGACGTTTCAGGACCCCCGGTGCCGGCGGCATTCTCGCTAAGGAGCCTGGCTGCTGGGTTCCTGAGCTCCCTTCTCAGGGGCCCTGTCTGCTTCAGCCCAAGGAGGGGGGTCTCAGAACAGACACCCAGAAGCAGGTGAGCCCAGCAGCCGGGGGCTAGGAGCCTTTCCACCCCAGCCCCCTGTGTGTGGCCTACTACCTGCCTCGCTTTTTTTCTTTAAACGCAGGAATTCTTTTCCTGCAAAATCTGCAAAAATCGATAGTCCACTTAATTGGTTCAGAGGTTCCTGAGGCTCAAAATTCAGTTACTATATATACTCCACCTTCTATCTGAAATGGCATATGCCTTATTTTTTAAGAGTACAGATCAACACAATGAATAAGCTGTCACTCTCTGTTAGGAGTCACGGGGTAGAGAAGTCCCTTTAAATTGTAGATACTTTTGGACACCTGCACACCTAAAATGTCCCTCGTAGGCTGCAAGGGAAGAGCAGACCGGATTCTGGCTGGGTATTTGGACTCCATGGCAAATTGTTCTTGAAATGAAGTGTGCTGTGCAATTAATGGTTTTCCCCTTCTCCTCACCGTTGCTTTGTGTATGAGGGAATCTTCTCTCTTGCTCCTGCTCCTATCCCCTTTTCCCAGCACTTTGCATCCCCCTTCCCTGACCCTCCAGGATCCCCCCCCCCTTTCTTCCCCTCTCTCTCTGGACTATGCAGCAAAGCTGTCTCACTCTCTGATTCTTTGCAGATCGACGTAATTAACACATTCCAGACGGGAGCCTCCTTTAAGGGAGTCCTAAAGCGACAGACCATGGGGCAGCACCTTGATGTTAAACATGTTCCTAGCTCATCCTATGTAACAGTTTCGCCAGTCACATCTCCCCCCACCACTTCTGTTCCTGCTGCTGTCTCATCTCCTACTCTGGGCAGTGAGTGAGAGTCTATTATGATGCATGATTTGCTAAAATGACCACAAGAGAGCACGTGGCATCCACTTTAACCAACCGTGGCATCCACTTTAACCAATCATGGTTATCTTTTCCTTTTGGTTTTTCCCTTTCACCTCTGACTTAAGGGAAGAAAAATGGGACAGAAATCCCAATCCCAAACCAGACTGTGTGCCCTTTTATCTTATTTTATTTTTTAATGTCGAAAAACTATTAAACCAGAATCATTTTAAAGACAATAATCCTGTTTTCTGATCGTTCCTCTGCACTGCCTGTTTCTTCCTTGAGTTTTTTGTTTGTTTGGCTTTACTTTGAGTTGTTTGTTGGTTGGTTGGTTGGTTGGTTTTGCTTTGTTTGGATATGGTGTTGTTCCTCTCCTCTCCTGCTCCTTTGAGTCTAAACTTGATCTCCTGAGGTTAGAGGTGAGGTTGGGCCAATGAAAACCCAGCCCTCTCTTCATGGGAGGAAAGGGGGACAAGTTTCAGATCTCCTGAAAGAGAATATGAAGAGAGCTACCCTTCCCATGGGCTTTTCTACCAGGAGATCCCTCATCATTGAGCCGACGTTGAACTTGGCCGATAATAACGGTCCTTCTGGGCTACCGCCCTGTCGTGAGCTGCCCACATTGGTGTAGAAGCTGCAGCTGAGTGTGAAGAAAAGAAGGAGCTCAGTTCACTTGCACAGCGCTGAGTGTCCCCGAGGTTTCACTTTTCAGGGACGGCAAACCAAGCTCTGGTTTAAGAATCAATGTATTCAAATCTGGGCAGGAGAAATGTATATGCAAAGGTCCAAATAACTTAATTTTCTTCACTCCAGCTTTTTTCTTTCTAGGAATTTCTGAAGAGCAACTTTTGGTTTGGTTTGTTTTTTTGCTTCCCCTTTCCTCTAGTTTGACTGTCTCACCCGTAGCCAGCCCTTCATGCCTTATTTTGCACGTGAAGTTTTAGGTGCCTCTTTCTCGGCCAGCCTATCAGCTGGAATGTTGTCAGTGTTTAACCTAAGATCTGGTGCTCCCACCAGTAGATGGTTGGATTCTTGCTAATGCTTATGCCTTACAATTCCGGGTCATTTTACCTTCCCCAAATGGGACACAGAGGGGAGAGAAGGCTCTTCGCTGATAGTGCTATTAAGTTATTTGGTGGGAAAGAAGTCTCCTTGTATTAAGTCTGGTGTGAGCTTCAGATATTTGACTATTTTATTTATCTCTTCTTCCCCCTATCCCCCCAAAACCCTGGAAGGGAGGGTGCAGTAAAGAAAGAACAGTTACATTGTCTGTGGTTCACGTAATTGTGAGCTGTGCAGGTTAACCAGACTCAGATTATTTGTTGTCTTTGTGGCCAAATGTAAGTATTCTGGTGTGAGATATGAGGGGTGGGGTTTTCTATAGATACATATTTCTTTAGGCCCTAAAGCAGTCAAAGAACTGAGTAAGTCTTACCCTGCGAAAATCTAAGAGCTTCTCCCTCTAGTCCTTCCATATTCCTTTCTTATTTCCTTTTTTCTTCTAGCTTTTCCCTGTCCTTCTAACTAGTATCTGTTCCTTTTTAATCATGCCCTTCTGTGAGGAAGGGCTAGTGTCAGCTGTCCCAGTGATTTGAAGGTGGAAAGAGACTAAGCAGAAGACAGAACCCATCGGGTTCTTATGGAATTGCTCTTATGGAAGAGGGTAAGCTGCTGACCCTCAAAGGCAGAAATTGAGTCAGGAGATAGCCATACCCGCTGTCTCTCCAGCTGCTCCTTCTTACCCGGACGTCCTAGAAGAAATAGTCACTCATTTCAGGACCCCTGTCCCCATTCCAGATCTCCAAGTGAATTCAGTTATTTGTCTAACCTTCAGTAGATAAATCTTTAAGATTTCCCTCTACAGGAAAACCCTTAATTCCTTCTCTTCCCCTGGTTTCTGAAAAGAGAACAGAAGACTATAGAATCTAGCTGAAGAAATGGAGTCTTCATCTGCCCATTCACTGAGCTCCAGAGAGTGGTCCTTAGCCCTCATACCTAATCGAAAGGTCCAGCCTGGTAAGGACTCCTGAGACATGAGAAAGAGTCGCCCTTCAATCCAGCCACTTCTACGTGTAGGACAGAGGCCACAGAAGAGCCATGTCCCAGAGGTTTTGAGGGACAGTAACTGGGGAAGGAAGGGCTGATTGGCTGAGTAGAGAATGCCTACAGCTTTCACAGTGGCCAGTTCACTATCTGTGTCTTGTTCCCCGTACTCTGCTCACGCACCAGGCATCAGGGAAGGAGGATGCCACCTTTGCTTGGGGTAGACTGGTGGTGATGTATCTGTGTGATTGTTCATCAGCATGTGTTATATATTCTCTGTTGGAGCTGAGGAGCATTCTGGCCCAGCCCCAAGCCCTCCACCCCTCACCCTTCTCTCCCCCACCGGGCCACTACAGGTGCCGCCTAGTTCCCTGACTCCTCTTCCTTTGAGCTTCCCTTGCAGGATGCTTGTTTCCCTTTAGATTCTAGAAGCCTTGCAGTCTAGCCGGATGACTGTTCCTTGCTCCCCCAAAGAAGACATCTTCCCTATTGTTTCCATCTACCCATTCCAATTCACTTTTATCTCCCTTATTGTTTGCCTGTAACATTGTTATTGATCACCCCAACAGGTGAGAGGAAAAGCCAGAAAACAGGGCTCCAGACCCTGACTCTAACCCCAGTTTTTAAAAATATGTTTTCTCTATTGGACTTCACATATAATTATTTTCATTAAGTATTCAGTAGCTTCAAAAAAAAAATAGAAGCAAGAAGTTTGAAAATCACTGATACTGAAGATAACCAACTGGTGGTATAAAAAGGTACCTCTTCCTCTGCAGCACTTGTTAAAAACTTGGAAATCTCAAGAGCAGGTGAAAAGTGTGGGCTATGTCATCCCTCCTACAGGGGTTGGTATGGCTTTGAACCCATCTCTTGACCAGGGAGAAGGCACTGGGTTTGGACTCACTTCATCCAAGGTGCCTTGCTCTCAGATTTGACGGAGATCAGTTAAAGCTTGGGGGCCTCTGCAAGACCAAATGGAGCCTCTGTTCCATCTGATCTCACCTAGGTCTGGAGCAAAGGGAACATGACAGGTAAAATTCACCCATCAGATTGTCAACAGCAATCACAGAAGGATAGAAACCTAGGTCCTTACCTTCTGTTCAGCGTGGCAAATGTGTGCCCAGGTTCCTTGCTTCTTCTTGGCTGAAGTGTGGAGCAGATTCTACTGAGCAGCAGAGAGTCCTTTGTCTTCTAAACTCTGGGCACCCTCAGTCCTGGGTGGGTCTGCCAGGCTGTTGTGGAGTGAGGCAAGATGAGGAAAGCCTTAGCCAGCGAAGACACAACTTCAGTGAATCCTCTTCGTGTGTTAGTCTTGAAGGGTCTATCCAGTGATAGCATTGCCTGACTCTTTGTGTCTCCTCTGTCTGCACATTCTTGCCTCTTCTCCAGGGACCTATTCTTTGCTGAAACAACAGAGACATGGAAGAGGGGCCCTAGGCCACCATTCAGCCTCCCTCCCTTGCCCCTCCTACCACAACCAGTCTCTCCGACAGTAGCCTCATTTCTTTCCTGAGGGAAGGATTTTTGGACAAGACTAGGATCAGCCACCTCCCCACCATCAAAACCGTCCTCCAGCCACTTTCCTCTCCCTTGGCCTCTGTCTCCACCGTCTCGGGATCCAACCTACTGCCCCGACCCCAATTCTGCCAACCCAGGTTCTAAACCATACTTCAGAGAGGCCTACCGTTCAGAAAAGCAGGCTGCCAAAAGAGCTGGGACCCATGGATAAGGCAAAGGCTGACCACAGGAGTCCGTTGTTGTTTAGTTTTTTCCTTTTCTCCCAACTGACTGAATCCCTTCCTTTTTTGTGCGGTAGAAAGAGACTTTGACGCTTACGGGGCAGTGCGTTTCCCTCTGCCCACTAAAGCCACATGGTGTTTCCATTCCTCCATCTTCTTCATCCGCCTCATCAGAAAAGCCACTTGTCTGTAGCACGGCCTCCAACCGGATGGTTCCTCTCCTGGTCCCATCCCTTCCCTTCTCCACATGAGGCCATGCCCCCCGTCACAATGTAGAAACAGCTGGAGAAAGCCACAGGCTGGGGCACAGGTGTTATGCACGAGAGGCATGGACATGCACTTGAACTGGGAGAGCCCGCTCTTCTCTCCATGGTCAGGAGGAAGGCATCTTCTCTTACCCGTGCTTCAGCCCCATCTGCCAGGGGAGGGACGGAAGGAGCGGAGTTCCGCTTTCTGGGGCGGGCAGGGGACATGGCAGAGGTTGTGGGATAGAAATATATGCATGTTTCCTGACTGAAAGAGCAATTATTCAACTGGAGAGTATAAGAGTTTTAATTTCTTGCATGCTGCTGACACAAATGAAGAGTGTTTTGTCTGCCTTGCTGCACGGTATCCGTAGCCACTTACCACCCAAAGTGTATTATGTATGGATTGGGATGAGTTTGACTCTTTAAGGGTTTTAAGCAGATAACTAAACTTCAATGTGTAATTTTTCCGTTCCACGTTCACAAAATGTTTGGCCTCAACACAGAAAGCCACATGTCTGAATCATCTTTTAAGTTCGGCTATTAATTTGCACCTGGTTCCTATGTTCTTGCCCTCATCCAAAAGAACTAATGAATCCTTGTTTTCTGTTTCATTTTAAGAATGGATTGTTTGGGAATGCTAACTTTGCTTTGGGTTTTCTACCTTTTTTTTTTTTTTTTTTTAATGCAGCTTTGAAATATTCAGTTGTTTGCCATTACTCACCCCACCCCACCCCCATGCTTGAAATTTGATGTTTCTGGTGTTCCATAATCTCTCCTTATGTGTTTGGTTTTGGTTGTTGCGCGGTAGTGTTTTGTAGTTGGAGTTTTGTTTCTCACCTCAAACCACCAGTTCTTTGTTCTACTGGTCCATTCTCACCTTCGTGTTTTCTCCTCCTCCTTTTCCTTCCCCCCCGGTATAGATCAAAGTGGTCAAAGCGTTCCATAGTTCCCTCCATGAAAGCATTCAGAAACCCAAGAACCAAAACTCCATCCACAACTTCATGACCCACCCTGAATTCGCCATAGATGAGGAGGTGCCACGAACACCACTCCTGGATGAGCACGAGGAGGAAAATCTTGACAGTCCTAAGGCTGGGACTAGGGTGCTCCTGTTGGACGGTGAGGTCACGCCATACGCCAACAAAAACAACAATGCGGTGGACTGCAGCCAAGTGCAAATTGTTGCCTCCCACTCAGAGAGCCCTCTGCACAGCCTGGAGACATCTGTTTGAACTTCATTCTCTGACTCCCATCCCCGCTTTCTCCATGTCCTTTTTCATCTATCCCATCAGTAAGGTGACGATGGGACTTTTCACTGTCATGTCAGCTGCTCCCAAGTATGTGTGAACTCCCACCTGACCATGAAGAGGCAAGAGCAGAGACCTACGAGGATGTCGACTTAAACTTGAGCTGGGGTTTGTAGCAGGACCCAGTCAAACCCCAGGCAGGTAATGAATGGTAGGATCTACTCCTTGGGTGTATCAGTTGTCATTTTTAAAGAAATGATGACAATCCTCTTGGCATCTACCCCAACCCAGACTCTCCTCAGTATACATACGTATGTCACCATCTCCTGACCTCTGGATTTTACCCTATGAGTCTGTGCCATTTATAAGCTAAGTCGAGGGTTCCGAGAGACAAATGTCCCCAAATGCAATGTGTTGAGGTAGGAATGGACTGTATAGAATCAGCCTATAGAGTGATTGTTTTTAAAATGACTTCCCCATTTTCAAAACTTACACCTAAAGCCCTCTAGCTCTTTCTGCCCTTCTAGTCAAACCTCCCTAAGGTTCTTTTGGTCTTTTGTGACCACTGTCTCCCTTATCTTCACTCTTTCTTGTTCTTTTTTCTTTTTCTTTTTTTTTTAAGTTGTGATGATTAAGAAAGTGGAATGGACATGGCTGAATTGAGTCCACTTTGGCCATTCCCCCTTCTGGCCCCAATGGAATCCTTGGCTTAGTCCTAGAGGCAGATAGGTTCTTTGCTAATGGGATCCTCTTGAAGCAATTGAGAGCTGGTAAGAATGTATTTCTGTTGTTGCCAGGTTACCTTCCCCTTCTGAACTGCTATCTTGTCAGGTGTGTGTCCTTTCTAAGTGCCAGGGAGATCAGCTTTGACCGTGAAGCTCGCATGTGTTCGTTATATAGTTTTTCCCATAAGCCTGAGCTTTCTTCTGTTGCTAAAGTGGTGGCAAAAGAATGGATTGAGAATGGCCCTGCCTCCTAACTGGACTGGGATATTAAGGACCAGCAGCTGGCAGGTCCACGACAAGACAGACCATCAAAGTCAACTCTTGTGCCATCCTCCCTGGGTTGACCACTCCTGCTTTCAAAGCCTTCCGCCACAGCTCTTCTGAGACAGGACCTGCTTGTTGCGGGAGTGCGTACTGAGAAGACTTGGGAGAGGCCGAGGGGCCATTCTAGCAGGTTCTGAGAAACCAGACACCTTGAGCTTAGGCGCCCAAGTACCAGCTTTGACATACCCCTCAGCTTTCTCATTCTGCTCTGTCGCGGCCCCTAACTCGTCTGGTCTCTCAACAGGCCCCAACCTTTCTCACATATTCCGCATTTGAAAATACCCATCCCAAGTGGGGTCCAGTGACATTTTGCTGACTTAAAGGAGCAAAAGACCCACCCTGGAAAGTTCTCCTTCCTCTCTTCCTTTGCTCCCACACGCCCCCCTCGAGGCCCTCTCCAGAACGTGCTCAACTGCTGCACACGAAAGCCCTGTGCCTTCCTTCCCTGAACGCTGCCCAGAGCATCCCCCGCGCGCCTGCCTCTCAGGAGGTAGGGACCTCACTAGGAGATTTTTTTAAGTGTTCCTTAATGGGACAAGGTGGAGCCACGTTTGCAGGAGCTCCATTTTTATCCCTGCTGGTGTTGACGTAAGCTCTTCTGTGCAGGGGCTCGTTAACTCACGTCTACCAATTCCCATGAAAGAAATGAAGCCCGTTCCCCCTGTTTCAAGAGTGATGGCAGTGTGGGGTGGGGCTTGAGGCTCTTACGAACTGCCAGACTTCCACTTGTGAGCGTAAGGTGGCCGGAACCTATGCTCTCCGCCTTCTCTTCTCTTCGGGATCCCTCCTCCCTCTCCCCTTCCTCCTGAGCTGTCCGAGGTAGGAAGAGCAAAGACACAATACCCGCTCCACATCCCCACTGCTGCGCAACCCGCCAGATTTGACTTGGGTTTTGTAAAGGTCACATGCTTCAGCAATCTTTTCTCTGTCTTAAATCCTCATGTGGGAATAAAACAGCTCACCCAAGGTGTTAGGTGTGCACATATATATTTATTAAGTACATTGGAAGATTTCGTTCTGTCAAGTCTTTTATTACCTCAGATCAGTTTAAAAAACAAGCCAATAACAAACTTCGGAGGCTATTGCACCCTTCCTGCTCCCAAAAGACTCGTGGTGCCGGACAGGTTACTCTTGAGGGCTTGTGTCTACTTGTTTAAAGTCAATGGCTTTTGTGTATCTTTTAGTTTCCATGGTAGGAGAGAAAATAGAGAATATTATGCAAAAATATATAGTTTTCTTTAGCTCAGAAACGGATATTTTTGAGTCAGCCATATGTATTTTGTTTAAAGGATTTGAAATAAAGTGCTGTCATGTTACCCTGTGGAAGGAGCATATAACCAGCTGTTGGATGTGACAGGCGACTTAGCGTATTTGTGACTGGTTATAAAACCAATGCAACGTACTTCCTTTCTCCAAACAGCCATCTTTATACTTAGGGAAAAAAAATGTATTGGGTTCTAGACTTTTTTAATATAAATTTTGTTGATATGGAATTGAGTAAGTTTAAGTGTTTATGTGCATATGTTTTTTATATAAGTTTTTTTCTATTCAGTTTTAGTGATCCAACTGGCAGTGAGTAAATATGGCGTAAGGTAATAAAGCTTTCCCCCCATATGGTGCTTTCGATCTGAAAAGGGTCTGATGGGGAGAAGGGGAAATAATTCTCCTAGAGAAACCTAGGAAAGTGGGCAGTGGCCTGTGGATGGGAAGGAAAGCAGCCAGTGAGAAAGGAGTGTGCGTCCCCCATGGAGATGGGCGCCAGGCCTTTTAGTAACTAGTGATCAGGGTCGGGGGCCTTGGCTGGATGTTGTTTTTTGACGAGTAGCTGGTAGAGTAGTACCCAAGGCGTGAATATCTCTCGGGCTGCAAGGATGCTCTGATTGGGGCTTTGCATATTTTATGGTTCTTTCACGCATGTTTTATGGGTTCTTCACCCTGGGAGTTTTCCATTAGTGAGTTTTTGTGCAAAGCTCTGATTTGGGACTTGCCCTCTCCTAGAAAGGTTGTGTGCGATATATGAGATGGGGGAGAGAGTTCTAAGTGGAAGTCACAAAGGCCAGTTCTAACCCGGGGTGACCGCCTTGGGGCTAGGTCCTTCCCAGAGGTGCCCTCTGCCCTCTGAAATGATGACTCCCCCATCCCTAAAGGTGTCAGAGAGACCACCTCGCAGTCCTTCTGACACTTGTGGGTTCTGTAGGGTCTGGGTTTCTTCTTCCACTTGAGCTTCAGAGGGGAGAGTTCGCACAGTTCTATCTGAGCGATTACCTCACTGCCGAAAACCGAAAACCTGGCGGGGGTGGGGGCAAGTCCGCATGCAACCTCGAAATGCCTCACCTCCTTTCTCTCCTGCTTTCTTTGCCTCACGATCGATCGAAGCAGCCCGTGATACCATCACCAAGTGCACACTTCCTCACTCTCCATATCTAGGGACCACCTACTGCAGTGGTGGGGACGAGGCACTTGTAAATGCCTGCTATTCTGAAGCCATTCTAGCCTTTTCCTCAGAATAGACCAGATGCCCTTCCATGTAGCTCAGTGCCATGCTTTGCCTCCCAAGCCCTGCTGTCAGGCCTGCTGTCCCCTTTCCTCTTGATGAGGAGAGACGGAGGCAAGTGAGCTCCCCGTGACCGAACTGGCCTTTGGTTCGTGTTTGCTCCCCATCTGTATATAGGCCATCTGTGAACATGCCATATATTATATGTGCCAACAAATCTATCTACGCTGTCCTTTTCAAATCAGCACGCAGATAGGAATTTTGAGTTTCTTTCTTTCTTTTTTTTTTTTCAGTAACTAGAATAACAAGCACTGGTATTTTTGTATAAAAAAGAAAAACAAAACAAAAGATTGACTATTGTGGTCTGCATGACATAAACAAACATGGTGATATCCAAGCAATGTGTACCCCAGTGTGTGTGGCCATAATTTGCAGTCGGCTTAACGGTGCACCCAATCTGTATTTGCATTCTGATATTATTTAAGCTCTTTGTACAATGGTTTGCATGTATTTATATGGTTTGTAGGGAAAAAAAATGCTGTAAACTGGCAAATCTGAAATTCAAATACGTTGTCCACTGAGACGGGAAGAAGAGGAGTTTGAAAAGATGGGGGAAAAAGGGATAATTTTTTTTTTTTTTGGAACCAATAAAGCTTGTTGCTGATGAGCAGAAACCAGACTGCCGTGCACTGAGAATAAAAACCCATGCCCACTATTACCTGTGCTGTCCTCAATGTGTCTCCACTCGTGGGTAATGTCACTGAGGGTCTGCTGAAGTTTGAGGAGGGACCCGCCACGCCGCATCGAGACCCCCGTCCGTGCCAGCCCGGAACTCAGCTTATCACTGGCCCCTGCCACACTCCTCTGCCAACACAGCCCTCTGGCCACTCGCGGCCCCACTTGCCAGGTCCACGCGCTGGTGGGACAAGCTTTCCTCGGCTCGCTTCGGGCGGAACCCACAGTCGGGGCACAGTGAAGCCGGAGCTTTTGAGAAAGGATGAACTGGGAAGGATGAGAGCCAGAGTGGCAGTCCTTTCTTATTCTCTTTGCCTTTTTTTTTCTTTTTTTTTTTTTAATGAAATACATTCTGGAAAGATTCATTCCCCTGATATTAGCACCTTTTTTTCCTACCTTGCCTCTGGGGCTCTCCCCTTCTCCTTTCCCCAAGTTTTTGTTCTGTTCCATTCTGTTAATTGTCCCATTCACCGAGTCTCTGGCAGGACCGATGAGGCCCCAGGTTTGGGCCAAAACCGCTTCCTGGCAGGTCATTTGGGTGCTGAGCTTTCGTATCTCAGAACTCAGAACTCCCTGTCCCTTTCATCCCGGCTCTCGATCAAGTTCCCTGCTCTCTCTGAACACATCAAAGGGAGGAAAGGACTTTATGGGCTCCCCCTGGTCTGTTAGGAAAAGAATGATGGAGAAGGACAGCCCAAACTCTGCCGGCTGTTTGAACAGGCTGCTTCTGAAGGTGGAGCCGGCCCTGGAGGAAAAAGCTTCTGGAGTATGAAGTCTCATCCCCACGTCTCCTGCCTGCCCCAGCTCACACTCCATGGGCACAGGCACACTGCCTACTTCATTTCTTTAAAACTTGGGCTAGGGCAGAAAAAATGAATAATTCATAATGGGGCTAGGTCTTGCTTGATAACAGAAGTCATTTGCAAAACAGAACTCGTCTTTCTCCCATTATAGGTTCCCTCCCAATTACCCTTGCTAGAATGGGATGCAAAGCACACAGGCACACGCACGCAGACACACACACACACACACACACACACAGCTAGAGTCCTTTCTAAAGTTTGGCCCTGAATTGCCCCTTACTCTCGCCTTGTCTTGGTTGGACCTAAGATCTGTACCTCTCTATGAGGCCAGACTGGATCTTAAGCATCTACACCGCCTGACTCCAGTGTGCAGTAAGGTGTGGAGGATGAGCTTCAAAGTAGCTCTCTGACTGCGACCAATGGATCCTCAGGTATTGCTTTAATGGCGTCTAAAACCAGCTCAGCTCCTTGGCCTGAGTGACGGTACAGAAAAGTGCATGCTCTTTGTTCCATCTTTTTCCCCACCCCCAGTTCTAGAAAAGCATAATTGCTCTGCCCTCCTTCTTTAATAATGGTTTGCAAACCTTTTTCAGCCACCATATCCTCTCCCTGTGGTCACTGGGTTTGTTTGAAGCTCTTCACCAAGACTCGCTGGTTCCCTCCCAAGTACACACAGCCAGGCAACTCCCTGCTGACTTAATCTGTGGCACATCCAAAGATTAGCCATTGGGTACCCATGAACTAGTTACCAGCCCCTGACCTGGGTCTCTTAGGACATGGCCTTCATGTCACTGCAAGCATGAAGGAAGGTAGAAGTGGCATGTCCTTTACTGGCAAATACTTTGGAAACCCTGTTGTAAATAAAACATGTAAACATGTTACCATGTTGGTGGTGTCATGAGCATTCAGTTGTCCCCAACATGAACCTAAGCCATGAGCGATAACAAGCTGCTGGATCCATAGACTGTCCTACTTTCAGCCTTGAAAGGGAGCGGCTTCGGGTTCTGGGCTTGGCCATATCTTGACGCGGAACTAATCATATGTCTTCACTTCTCTGGAACTTATGTCAAAGAATACTTCCCTGTCCTCAGAAAACACACACATGGAAGGGAGCAGTCTCTTTGGAATGGCCTCCCTCTGCCGTCTCCTCAGAAGCCAGTGTCAAAACAAGAATGCCACTTCACCCTGACCATGAGACCCACCTCTGAGAAAAGCCACGTTACCATCAGGAGCTTGGCTTCTGCTCATGAGGTCTGAGCAAGGGGGGGTGACCTGAACCATCTGAGCAGCCAGAGCCTTCACACTCTGAGCCGGGTACCTCCGTCTCTGCTCTTGGATAGACCTGGTCCCTGCATTCAGGCTCAGCCAACACTCGGTTTCTCCCATGTCCCCTGTAAGAGAGGCCACCTGGACCATCCTCCACATGCAGCACCACTGGTTAGCTTACAGGGTTTTTTACATCATACTGGACCCAGGAACACTATGTTGAAGGACTGTGATGTGTGTTTTAGAATTCCAGATCCCCCTGGCTTGGCCTTACTGAAGGTAAGTACATGTGAAAACTTACTTGAGGGACGCCTGGGTGGCTCAGTCGGTTAAGCGTCTGCCTCCGGCTCAGGTCATGGTCCCAGGGTCCTGGGGTTGAGCCCCGCATCGGGCTCCCTGCTCAGCGGGGACTCTGCTTCTCCCTCTTCCTCTGCCTGCCGCTGCCCCTGCTTGTGCTATCTCTCTCACAAATAAATAAATAAAATCTTGAAAAAAAAAAAAAAAACTTACTTGAAAGAGGAAATGAAGCTGAGGACATCAGGGCCAGGGACTAGCAATGGCCTTCAGCACCCGTAAGAGGGAGAACAAATACACCCGTGGTAATTCAGAACCCTTCACGTGAGTCAAGAATCCCCACATCTTCCCCACCTAACCTTAGGAACTGAAACTGCTGCCGATCAAGTAGGAGAGAGAAGGGGTTCAAATCTTTGCTGCTCACCCCGTGGTGGAGGATCTAAAACAGAGATGTCGGGGAGGTGGAATAAGATCATGAAGTGTGGCCGCCCAGGAGGCAGGAAACCCTCATCCCTAACCGTGCCTCTTGAGTGGCTTGATTTTCCATCTAGACAAGGAGACAGTTGAAGTACATCAATGATTTTCAGATTACACTTTGAAGATCCGAAAGGGATTCCTTAGAGATGATTCAGAGCCCACAGGTGTTCAACAAAAGTAGCTTTAGAAAAAAAAAAAAAAATGTATTTGGTTTGTAGGTCAGCTGTAGCATTGAAAAAAATGCCTTAAAGGTGAACTCGTCCTCTCTGAGGTGACACCGTAGCAACAAGAGTTGTGTGATTAAATACACAAGCAAGCCTAACTTGGATCCTGTCTTGGTGGTTTCCCGTTATAATTACCAATGTAAGCACAAACACAACAGAGTAAAACTTAGTAATTGTAGTCCATCCATCCTGCTAAGATTGTTATCTAGCTGATTCACCTTCGGAATTTGTTGTGAAAAGAGCAGAGGTCTGAAGATCCAGAGATCTCGCCCAGTGGGATGGCATAAAATTACAGAGCAGAAGCAAGCTGGCTCCTTTAAGCTATGGTGGAGAGCGCTGGCCTGGGAATTGGACGGCCTAGGTTATAACCCTGACCCTGCTACCAAGGGTCTTCCCAACTCTGACACTCTTTCCATTCTCAGTCTAGTGTCTAAAATTGCTGTTAATAACCACTGGAGAATGCCCAAGTGGCAGTTCTCTTTCATCGCTTTATCTCCCCTGGAATGTGGCATTATCGTGTGTGCTTTGGACAAGAGCACATACCGGGACGTGCGCGGGCAGGCTCAGCCACTTATACCTGCAACAAAGACAAATTGCTCCACAGCCCTTAGAGAACAAGAAATCTGTTTCTTCTCTAAATCTAACAAAATCTAACCCCAAACTAGCTAGCACTCACCAAGATCTGCAAGAGGCCTCTCTCAGTTGTTTGTTATGTTCCCATCGCCTCCCCTTGGGTATTGGTCCACTCATCACTCAACAAGCATGTGCTGGGCCAAGCACTGTCGTAGGCATCGGGGATGTGGCAGGGAACGAAACAAAGTCCCTGCCCTCTTTGAATTGAGTCTCATGGAAGAGAGACAAAGAAGTAAATACGTAGCATGTCAAATGGTCACAAGGACCAGGGAGAAAGGTAAAGTGTAAGGGAAATAGGCAGCATGGGGCATGAGGGTTGCTCTTTTGTTGATTTTATTTATTCTGGAGAGGGGGGGAGAATCCCAAGCAGACTCACCGCGGAGCACGGAGCTCGACTCAGGGTTCGATCCCAGGACCCTTGAGATCATGACCTGAGCTGAAACCAAGAGTCGGACGCTCAACCAACTGAGCCACCCGGGCGCCCCAAGAGTTGCTCTTTTGTAGAGAAGATCTCTGATGAACAGACATTTGTGAAGATATGTGAAGGGAGTCAGAGAGTGAGCTAGGTAAATATGTGGAGGAAAGAGGTTCCAGGCAAAGGGCCCAGCAAGTGCAAAGGTCCTGACGCAGGAGACCTCGATGTGTTTGAGGACATACAGGGAAGACAGGAGTCGGAACTGAGTGACTAAGTGGGGAAGTGCAGGTACGGAGCTGGGAGCCGGGCAGAGCCTGCAAGCCATTGTAAGGCTGGCTTTCATGAAGTGGGAAACCACTGGAAGGTGTTCACTGAGGACTGCAGTGATCTGTCTTAACAGTGGAGGGCCTATCGTGTGGCTGCCATCTCAGGGAAAACGGAAGGACGACGTAGATTGGACGAGCACGTGTGCCATGCACATGTGGGCCCACCTTAAACCTGAAGGACACAGGTAAATCCGAGCCCTCTGTCATGCTGGTGTCCTATGACACACAGAACAGTGAAAAGAAAACGCATGTTCCAAAAGAAGTTCAGATCTATTGCTTGCCACCCGAGCTCAGTAACGCCCTGGTTAATGAAGTGATCGAATGACATTCTACTCACTCACGCAAGAAGGGCACAAAGAAAACCCTCTTGACCTGCGCCCTTCCTGTTCCCGCCTCCCACTCCGATTGCCACACTGGCTGTCAGGTCCCCAGGCGGGCCCTCTGCCCTCAGGCCTCCTCTGAGATCAGCTGTACCTCATCTGATCCCTAATGTGACTGCCCACCCATCCCCGGGCTGCTGAGGAGTTGCCTCCTTCCTGCCCAGAGCCCCAGGCTCAGAACCTCTCTGCGTGTGGGGGCTGGCTGAGGTGAACCAGCGTGCTCACAGCCCTGGGGCTCAGGGGAGACTTGGGGCTGTCAGCAGACATTTGCTCCTCCAGACGCGCCTCACACCTCGCTCAGCTCCACAGCTCTGCCGCCGCTGGGACTCAAGGGAGGTCCTGCCAAACCCAGAACTCCAGAAGGACCAAGGGAGTAGAGATCTGCCCTGCTCTCGGGACACCGGACTTAAGGAGAGGGTTCTCTTGCCTGTCAGCAATGCCAACCCACCTCCTCCACCAAGGCCTAGCCTAAGTGGGGGACAAACGATCCCCTAGGCCGCTCACACCCCTTGCTTTCAGATTCTCCTCTCACTCCTCAAGGGCCTCGGGCAGAATGGGGGCGGGGAGCAGAGAAATCTTCCCATACTTTCTAAATCTTTTTGTCCTAACCCTGCTCTCTCTCAACTTTAACTTAAAAGGAAAGTATTTGCTGCCTTTGTTCTCAGTTTCAGACTTGCCTGGACTGGAGAAGGCCTCCAGCCCAGAAGCAAGCGAACAAGGAGGGTGGAGGATTGTCACCTGGCTAGGGTTGACTCAGCCCCCAAACCTTCAGGAACCAAGCCTGGCCAGAGTTGGCTTTCACACAGGGCAACTTTGGCATGTTTGGGCCCAGAGATACAAAAGCCACTGTTCACCCCTTCCTGGGGCAAAGGCGACCCAACAGAGGAGCCAGGTTGCCCTTCGTACAAGGGGCAGCGAGGGCCGTGCAAGGCTTGTCTCTTCCCTTCGCGGCTGAGCACACAGCAGGAAACAATACTAGACACCCATTTCTTTCTCAGTAGCTCATCCTGTCACACACTCAGGTCATAAATTCACAGCAGCAATAAGCTCCTAAGAGAACTTCTCAGAAGGTCCACTTAATTCTGGTGGTCAGGCACTGGCCAGATGCCAGAGAGGCAATAAATAGATTTTTTTTTTTTATTTGAGAGAGAGAGCACAGAGGGAGAGAGAGAGGGAGAAACAGACTCCCCACTGAGTGGAGAGCCCAACGCGGGACCCAATCGCAGGACCCCGAGATCATGACCCAAGTGGAAGGCAGACGCCTAACTGACTGAGCCACCCAGGCGCCCATAGAGATGCAATAAATAAAACAAAGTCCCTGCCCCGAAGGGGGTTCAAAGGCTACCTGAGGAGACAGGTGTTTAAACAACTAATCCCAGCAATTGAGAGGTATCATGCCTGGTGCCATGGGGACCCAGAAGAGCAAAAAACCCAGTTCCAGAAGGGGAGGTCTTCACAGAGGTGGTGACACAATGTATTTTTTAATCACAATTTTATTTTTTTATAAAAATGACACCTAATCTGGGCGCCTGGGTGGCTCAGTCGGTTGAGCGACTGCCTTCGGCTCAGGTCATGATCCCGGAGTCCCGGGATCGAGTCCCGCATCGGGCTCCCTGCTCGGCGGGGAGTCTGCTTCTCCCTCTGACCCTCCTCCCTCTCGTGCTCTCTGTCTCTCATTCTCTCTCGCAAATAAATAAATAAAATCTTTAAAGAAAAAATGACACCTAATCTTTATAATAACTTAAGCAATAGAAGTCCAAAGAAGAAAGTAACAAAATACCTCAAGCCCCACAACCCGGAAATAACCAGTATAAGCTCTTCAAATGGGTTTTTTTGGAATTTTACGAGAGAGAGAGAGAGAGAGAGAGAAACTGCCATCACAGTGAAGGAAGCAGTGCAAAGGCCCAGAGCATGGAAGTGATGAGCCGGGTTTAAACATGGGGTGCAGAGTGCTGGCAAGGGGATGCTGGCTGAGGCTCAGCACGGTATGCAGGCCAGGCCCACTGCGCGTGCAAAAAGCCAGGCTGCCTAGTGCCGAGCAGCGGGAGACTTCCCGTAAATCCGCACTTAAGGAATAAGGTGATACATGGCAGGAAGGCAGGCTGAGCATCAAGAGAAGAAGAGGGAAAGGCAGGGGGCAGTCCAGTAAGTATAAAGAATTGAGCCCAATGCATAATGAGATAATCACATAATAACAGCCCCCACTTAATGAGCTTGCATATGCCAAGTCCTCCGCCGAGCATTTTTCATTGTCAGCCCGATTAATTTTCACAACAGCATTACCTAAGTTGTAGTATTGCTATTTTACACCCAAGGAAACACCCAAAAAGATTAGAGGACCTGGGCAAGATAACCCAAGCAGTCATTTAGGATCTGAACTTGTGTGGATGCTCTTAACACAGTGCTTCTGTCTTTCCAGAGGATTCTGAAAGGTTTTTAGTATTAACAGCACTGAGTTAGGGCAGAGCCCCTCCTCTTCAAGGGGTTTACTGACTTGGATGCATCAGTTCCGTCGGTTTAAAACCAATCTTGATACTTTTTTTTTTTTAAAGTAGGCTCAATGCCAGACTCGAACTCATGACCCTGAGATCAAGACCTGAGCCGATATCAAGAGTCAGATGCGCAACCAACTGAGCCACCCAGGCGCCCCCAATCTTACTACTTTAGGATCACATGTTACATTCAACCCTGAAATCATTAAAAGTGGTTAAAGGGAAACACCAGAGCAGTCAGGTATAAAGCATATGCCCTATTTCCCAGGAATGAGTAGTTTTCTTCCATTATCATGATGAATAATTTCACACACCAATTTTGGGTTTGTTGGTTTGATGGGCTGTCACAAGCCCGCGAGGGAAAGGAGAGCAGGTGGCAGGGCTCAGCCCCATCTGGAAACCTGGAGCTCACCCTACAGAGCCTCCTCTCAGAAGGCAGTTTCCCTCAAGTGTGAGGGGAGGAGGGAGTCAGGAGACCGGAGGGAAGATTGATTAGTCTGACTCAAGCACTCTGGGTAGATAAGAGAAGCAAGGTCTTAAGATGATCACGCAGAAGAATTTCTTCTAAAAAAAAAAAATGTTTTTTTAAAGTAGCAGTCAGGGTTCTAAGGTTTGGTTCTATTGGCCCTTCTCTTTGTACCACCTTCCAAGTTCCCAGTTCACACACAGCCTTCTGCTGGAACCAGTGGCTCAGGACAGGCGTGAGGAGCCTTGCTCCCTCGCCCACTAGTCCCGGCCGCTGGGGCCATGGAGCGAGGGATCTTCTTCTCCTGAGGAGTCCTAGTTCTACTCAGACCCATTCCGAAGGACAAGCGGGCAGAGACCCAGGTTCCAGCTCTTGAACCAGCTGCCTCTGAACCACCTCTGCTTCCTGCCAGGTAAGGCCACGTGGAGGGAGGGCAGCAAGGGCGTGGAAGGCAGAGCTCTGGGGAGAGCCAGCCAGGAGTCACCTGCAGCCGCAGCCCCTCTCCCCTGGGGGCCCTGTGAGAGCCTGGACGTGCAGGGCAGGGGTGGGCAGCCCCCGGAAGCCAGGGGTCTTGGTGTCCACTGGGAAGAGATGGGAGAGAGGCACGGTGCTGAGACCCTGACTGTCTTCCGTGCCGGCCCCTGGGAGTCCGTTTCCTGGGGGAAAGCCAGGTCAGAGGCCCTTCACAGCCTCATAAAAGTCTTAGTGACCCCTTCTCTTTGGACTCTGCCAAGATGCAAAGAGCTTCGGGAGATGGGTAAGGGAAAGAGAAGGGAGCTAGAAACAAATTTTGAACAACTGTCTAAGTTTGGGACACTTGGGGTATACACGGGAAATGAGGTATCCAGCCTCTGAGACAGGTGCACACTAAGCAGGACTGGGACGGATCTCCAGAAGAGTGCTGCAGAGACAGCCAGCAGCCAGGGGCCAAGAAGGGCAGGGCTTCAGGAAGGAATGGCCTCCAGGGCCCCCGCTGCCCCAGCATCGGCTCCATTCTGAGCGTCATACCCAGAGATTCTCAAAATGTGAAACATAGACCAGCTTTGTCAAAATCACCCGGGAAGTGTCGGTGAAAACAGCCTGCCCCCTGTCTCAGAAACCCAGAGAAACAATCACGAACCCCCCACCACCTTGCCCCATCTTTAGTCCCACTCCCTACAGACCACGGCGCTCCGGCCAACCCCGGGAACAGGGGGTGCAGGCATGTTTTCTTCTCCCTTACTATAGCTGAGCAGCATTTCCTGTGCCCCATGCTTCATTAGCACATTGGTGGTGTCGTTTCCTGTGACGACTCTCTGTTTCCATTCTGGCAAATGTTTGCTCTCTTCTGTCTGCTTTGGGGGTTGGGGGAGGATGAGCTTCTCACAGAGTCTCTCTCGAGCCTCTTGGCAGTTTCCCCCTCTCTACCCCTCACACTTCCACCAGAAGGCTGAGAGCATAGCGTCTCCCTGAACCACCTCTCTTGGGGAGCACCACACCCGGCTGAGGTCTCGCCTCCCGCGGTGGGCACTGTAGCCACATCCAGGTAGAACGAAACCTGTTGTCATTTTTGTGTCTGGGGCCACGCAGCCTGACATTTCAGGGGGAGAGGCCAGGTAGATGCAAGGTTGGGGGGAAAGAAAGTTCTAGAAAGATTGAAAACATGAAGACAAGGAGGGTTTCTATCAGTCTTATCTACTTAAAGTGGTTGCGATGGTATGTTAAACAACCAATTTTGCCTTTTCTCCTGGGGGATGGCAACTTAGGAAGAGCCAGGAGAAGTGGCAACATGTGTTACTGTTGATAATTAAGAGAAGGCTTAGGAGGAGCAGCTGGAGCCAGAGAGGTTGCCGTGACAATGGATTCGATCACCCCGGCCCTTTCAGAAATCAGAGGGAGGACCTCGGATGCCAGGACTCTGTGGGTAACTTCCAGCAGCCTGGACAGGTGAGTGACTCGGGGTGGTGAGCTCCACCCTCCCCTGATTTAGACAGACAGCCCTGGCCGACCCCAGGGGCTTCTACCCCAACAGCACTCCCAGCCCTCACAACCACGCTCAGGTCCACTAAGACCACCAAATTCTAGGCTTAGAGAAGCTTGCTCAGGACTGCTGGGAGGAGAGGAATAGGTATTGAAGAGAAATGGGAGTTGCAGGGGGAGAGGGAAAGCCGTGTTAACACAGGATTTCCTTAGACCTCGCTGCCTGGCCTGGTTGGATTTCTCACCTCCCAGAGGCCCCGATCGCTGTCCTCAATCTTTTCTGTCTCAGGTCCCCACAACCACTCTCCCCCCACAAAAAAAAAAAACAAAACCTAGGTCCCACCATGATGGAAACAAAAGGCCTGTTTTTTTTCAACGATGTGTTTCTAGGTTCTAAAAACTTTCCATGAGTGGAAAATGTAATCATAGATGTGATAAAGATATGTCTTTAGGATACAAAATCTCACAGAACTAATCACGGCTGTAAATTTTACTGCTAAAACCTTCAGGGTCATACTAACAAAAAGAAAAAGTCCAACAGCAGTGGAAGCTTCAGCAACAGTTGTAAGTTTGAATCTCAGCACTAAGAGTGGAACTCAGGGATAATAAATTTAAAATCACTGTCATTTAGGGAAATAAATGTGATTACCATAACAAACAAATATATGTCCCTGCAGGTGGACAGGGGCATTGATGGGGAATGAATTCATAAAGCTATCAAAACCCTGAAGTCCCCCCAAAATATCTACTTCTGTGCTCATTCATGTTTATTAATTCACTCATTCATTCAGATAATTCATCCTGCCCTTGCTAAGTGCCAGGCACTGTTCCAGGCACCAGATAAACAGGATAGACAAGCCCATGGCTTCCTGGAGCTTACAGTCAAGTGGGAAAGTCAGTTATGAACAGATAAACAAATGAAGTATAATATAATGTCAATCAGTCTTAAGTGTATGAAGAAAAACCAGAACAGAGTTAAGGGGCCTGAGAGTAACAGACCTGTCTGAGCAGGTGACATTTCCGAAGACTCCTGAGGGAAATGAGGGACTGAGCTACACAGACACCTGGGAGAGGGAGCTGCAGGTCAGAGGCAGGACTGCTGTGCATGGACAGGGACCGGCCAGGAGTCCTGGCTGTTGAAGTCAGAAGGAAAGTGGTGGGAAATGAGGTCAGATGGTAGGCAGAGGGGTACCTGGGTGGCTCAGGCAGTTAAGCATCTGGCTTTTGATTTCAGCTCAGGTCATGACCAGGGTTGTGGGATCAAGCCCCGCGTCGGTTCTGCGCTCAGCATGGGCTCTGCTCGGGATTCTCTCTCTCTCTCCTTCTGCCCTGTGCTCTCTCTCTCTCTCAAATAAATAAATTAAATTAATCTTTAAAAAAAGAGAGAGAAAGAGAAGAAGAAGAAAGTAGACAGAGGCCAGAACATAAGGTGCCATGACATCCTCAGTGGGTAGGAACTGTCGCTGTTATCCCGAGTGTCATCAAAGTCATGTGGGTCACAAGAAGAGAGGAGGCTTGATCTGGTTTACTGTTAAGAGGATCATGCTGGCTCCTATGTGAAGATAGGATGTTGGGGTCAAGAGTGAAAGCAAGGCAACCATTAAGGATGTTAGTGCAAATGTCTGTGTGGAGCACACGATGGCTTGGGGCGGGGGGAGGGTGGCAGTGGAGGAGTGAGGGGTGATTGGGTTTGGGAAAGATGCCCAGGGTTGAGCAGACAGGATCTGCTGGTTGACTGGAAGTGAGATGTGAAAGAAAAGGAGCAGTCAAGGATGGCTCCAAGATTTCTGACTGAACCACTAGGTGATGGGAGACACCAGAGGAGAAGCAGGCTTCTGGGAGAAGAAGAGCCATTCTATTTCAGACCTACTCGGTTTGAGATGTCCATTGGGCAGCCTAGCGGAAATGTCCAGTATAAACAAGCCTAGGACTCAGGAGGACAAAAATCTTCCCTGGTAGTTGATCTGGTTTCTAATATTTAGGTCCACTAATGATTCCTGCTGTAGCCTCCATTGGCTACTTCTTATTACAGTAGGCAAAGCAGAGCAGTAACACCAGCCCTGTCAGGGAGTCACAAGCAGCAGGAACTCAGCCTTGCATTTGCATCGGTTACATTCCACAGAACTGCAAGTGTTGCTTGGAGACCAGCTTCACAAGTCCGTACATGGGGGTTGCTCAAACGCCCGCAAGCCAGACTCTGTCACAGAGGAGCTCCCTCACTGTATGGCGAGTAACCCCTCCTTCCACACAAGACAGGACGCCCAGGAGCAGTACATGATTGATGCTCGAGTAGGGAGTACGGGATGAGGGCAGATGAACCCGATTTTGCAAGTTTGAAGGACAGGGTGGTGCGGCAGGAAGAGCATGGTCTTTGGGCCCCAATAGACCTAGACTCAAATTCCATCTTTGCTCCTTCCTACCTGTGTGATCTTTGATACATTACTCTGCCTTTCTTGGTCTAAATCTTGGGTTTCTGGCCACAAGGAGAGATGAGACTGTTGTAAAGATGACATGAGTTTCACACACACACAAACCCTTGGCATCCAGTAGGTATTCAAAAGGGACAGCGCCCTTCTCCTGTGTCCAGTTCCCCTCTGTCCACAAAGAAGACCCTCTCTCTAGCCAAGAGCCCACCCACCTCAGCTTTCCTTCACCTGGCTCCCATTCCAAGTCCTCGGGCTCCAATTCCTGCAGGAAGCCTCTCCTCTAACCTCCTCAGCCTCCTACAGCCTGGGGCATGGCACTTGTTTTTCCTCACAGAGAGAAAGACCAGAACAGCGCCATCTTTTCTGGGTTTGCAGGATTCCTTGCCATCCTCCTGACCACTGTGATTTTCTACAGCCTGTGGAACTGGAATAAATGGAAGAAGCACCGTGAGTCCCTTGATTGTCCCAGGTTGAGACACTCGAGCATCAGTCATGTAGCCTGGCATTCAAAGCCCAGTTTATTCTCCAGGGATAAACTGTTGCACTGGGGAATCCTCTGTTCTTCCCTGACACACTGGTCATTGTCTCACTCGAGGGTCTAAGCTGTGGCTCCAAAAGGCTCAGTGCTGATTGGAGTTCCATTTTGAAAATCATTGCCCTGGGACATATTCATGCCCACACCGCCCCCCCACCACACACACACACACCCCATTTCTTCCTCCTGCTTCTGTGTACCAAGTCTTCTAGTTCAAAGGGAATTGGGTAAGTGTGAAAATGTATTTTTTATGATACATAGTGAGGGTGGGAAATATTTTCAGGGACTATCTCATCCCCAAGGGCCCCCACATTCTGTAACAGTGGCCCCTGCCGTGATTCCCCATTTCTCTCATTACCTTGCAGGACAAGTTCCTCACTTCCGAGTTACCGTCATGCCCTTACTCTCTCTGTCTCGACCCAGACAAGGAACCAAAAATATTTATGACTCCTTGCCCCAGAGGCAAGAAGACCTGGGTAGGTTTTTCTTTCTAATCCATGGAGCACAGATATCACCAAACTTCTGCACCCAGAACGTACCTCTCACCACCCAGAGGTAGCTTTCTTTAAACACTCAGACCTTTCTGCCCTTCAGGGAGCATGGAGGAGGATGAGCTAGACAGAAGCAGGATGTAACTCCACTGGGGGCCTAGAGAGCTCTAAAAAGGGAGCTCGGGGTTGTCTACAAAGGGGGGGTGGTTTTATCTTGATATGAAGTTAGCAAAAGACAGATGGGTGTGTCTAGGGACGGGGGAGACATACAGAAGGAGAACATGGCCTCCAGCATTACAGGTGGTGAAGGTTTGCCCCAGGAGCAACCAACCCCGTGTGCTAGTTAGTGTCCTCCAGTCCTTGCTAGAAACCAAGGACAGTTCCAGGCCTCAGAGCACATCATTCCCCCTAGCTCTGACCCTCTCGCCAAAGAACATCAGCCCCAAACACCAGACACCGCACAAACCCACTTCACCCACACCGCGGGGACTGTTTAGGCTGAAGCGTTCACAGGACTGGCCTACTAGCTCCAGGACTTGTTCTCTGTTCTTTTAGGGAGACGTCAGTCGAGGAGTAACCGTATTTTCAGCACCGAGAGCCTCCTCTCCAGAAATTCTGATAGACCTCCTTCGGAGCCTGTGGTAAGAGTCAAGTGAAGGGACAAGCCCCTTGGGAGAAACGACATGTCTCTGGCAGAACTGAAGTAAACAAGTTCAGGTCGCAGATCTCGTTTCCTGGCAAACAGCATGTCCCCTGGCAGTTGCCCTGTGGCCCTATTAATAAGTTGGGAAGACTAGCCTCAGGACCTCCCTACTGCCCAGGGAGAAAAATTGAGAAAGGTAGGAACAATTGTTCAGGATTTGGGGCAAGGCACCAGGGCACATGTATTCAAGGACATGATGTTAGAACTGAAATGGATTGTTTTAACAAAGACAGGTAACAGCTTATCCGAATATTGTCCCCTTCCAAGTAATCACCTCAGGAGGGTATACAAATATTCCAACAGTGCTGTTGGTGCTCAAAACATCCTTAAAACCCTGCTTGGGGAATTCCTTCTGGGGCCTGTGGCAAACTGTTTCAGTTATCTTCAACAGGTGTATTTGTAAGTCATTGAGGACTGTCGCTGGTGTAGAAAGTGTTTGATCAAACGGGGGATATTTTTCGGAGGTTACCAGGGGAGTGGTACGGTGAATAACAACGACCCTATGTGTCTTATGATCTGGCTCTGAAGGCAGCCCCAGGGAGGGGTCCCACAATGCTGTGCGGCAGAGACCGCAGAGACCATAAAGGGAGGACTTTGAAGCTCAGGGGGCTCATCTCCATAGATAAGTTCTCATTTGCTCCTCAAAGAATCAGTCCCTTCAGTTTGTGGTCATTTCAAGAAAACACAGTCCTAGCACTGCTGCTGAGCCTGTTGCTTCCCAGCCTCTCATCACCCAGAGCTTTGAGTTCAGGAACCCTGCGGCCACCTCCTAGTCCTGCTCCCACCTGTCCCACGCTTGGGCTCTGCTCTCACCTCCGGGACTTCGTGGCGGAGCAAGTCCGCACAGCTGGTGACATGCAGGCAAGAGGGAATTCCGCTGCCAAAGTGAGTTCCAGCGCTTGGTCCCAACCCCATATGAGGCCACAACATGTTTGGCTTGGACTCTGTAGTGCATGAAGAACATTTCGAACCAGTTGCCAACATCTAAAAATCAAAAAGATTTCACATTAAAGTCCAGATGTCCAGCTTTTCGTGAAAAGTCAGAAGTTCTGGAAACAGCAGACTGGCAGCCCCAAATGGCCATATTGGGCTGAGTCTGTATGTCAGCTGCCCCTTTAATAATAAGGGCAAGCATGTGTCCGTGTTTTCGATGCGCCAGCAACTAGTCCAAACACTTTACACATAGTCATACACTTGCTCCTCACAGAAACCACATTGTGTAGATATTTTGATCGTCCCCATCTTAGATGCTAGGGAAGTAAGGCATGAAGAGATTCGGTAACTTGCCCAAACTCCGCACAGAGTGGCGAGGCTGGGATTTGCACCCTGAGTCGCTACTTTTGGCCACTGTGCTATATCGCCCCTCAATGGGCTCTGAGGCAGCAGGCTCGCTCCAGTTTATAATATTCCCCCCCAACCACCAGAGACTCCCCATTGAACAGCCACCCACTGTGGCCAAAAACCAGTAGCAATTGATCACCACATTTACACTGTTGCCTTCCTTAAGCTTAGCCACTTTGGTCATACCTGCCTAGGATCTAGGGCTTTGCATTTGGAGACCCCCGACTTAGAGATTTTCTCCAAGGTGAAGAACCGAGTGAAGGAGCGATCAGATAGTGGTACTGGGTGGGGAAGTAGAAAGGCTTCGCCCGTATTTCTGCTTCCGTCCTGTCACCGGCTTTCTCTTCTTGCTTATAGCCCTCCCAAGCAGCCAATGCCCTCTGGCTGCACAGTGACCATAATCCTGCCAACAGCTATGCAGTGGGCATCTATTACAATGCCACGGGGCTCCAGATGTGTGGGGACCTCACTCCCTCAGCAAACTATGTCAATGTCAAAGCAGCCCGAGACTGCCTGAGCATTTCTTCAGAGGATTCGAGAGATTACATCAATGTCCCCACAGCAGAGGAGATTGCTGAGTCTCTAGCTTCTACCAATAGCACCCCCGTGAACCTCTTTGCCCTCCCACATGCCCAGGAGCTGGAGTTTACTGAGGAAAAAGACAAGGGCTGTGGGAATGCCAGTGACCGCACCTGTTTTTGGTCTCCAAGATCTGAGAGCGATGATCCACTCAGCGATGAGGATGGTTCTTCTGAGACCTCAAATGACTACGTCAATATGGCAGGGTTGAATCTGGAGACCCTCCAGGGGAAGCAGCCCCGGATGGCTTTCCAGTGCTACAGAGATTATGAAAATGTCCCATCAGCACCTACCATTGGAAACCAACAGCAGGTGGAGGAAGAAGTGACCTCCTCAAACACGGACCATGTGGAAGGCTGGACGGATGGTCCAGGTACCCACATCCAATCTGTCATGCAGTCAGGGACATTCCTGGCTCTAGGGGAACATGTGACCTGTCAGCCATCTGCACAGAGTGAGACTAGTCAGATAAAACATGGAGAAGAAATGTCAAATGACATTTCTAGCGACTATGAGAATGTGCCAGCTGCCAAGTCAGGAGACAGGGACTCCAAGCAGGGGCCAGACACATAGCTCCTTCCTGATGAATTGGGACCCAGGCATCCAGATGGAGAGCTCTGTGGAGTAGTCTATTCTGCCGGATCCATGGCCACTATAGGGTCTGATGAAGACCACTGACCGTCCTTGTATTTCAGTGGGTTCGTTCAAGTAGACTACAAAGAGGCTGAGATACACAGAAGTCAAGGAACTCACAAAAGCCAACTTCTGAGAAAGCCAGAAAGGAATTCTTCTCAAGCATGGTGCTGTTCTCTCTCATACCAACCTAAGAATGTTTGCTGAAACTGCCTTATAGGACGGTTGGTAGATTAAAAATTCGATAGTTCTTTCGTGCACAGTGGAAACATGGGGAGTCTAAAATCATTACCTTTGCGAATACCAGCAGGATGCAAAGCGAGAATACAGATTAGTTTGTAATCCAGGCAGAGGCCAAAAAGAAGAAAGAAGTTGGAGTTGGGGTGGTGCAGCAGTTTCCAGTTGAAAAAGAGTGTGGACAACCAAATGCTGGAGAAGATGTGGGACAGCAGAACGGTCATTCATTGCAAAGCACAATATCCACTTTGGAAAAGTGTTTGGCAGTTTCTTATGAACATACATTTACTATACAGCCCAGCCATTCCACTCCCGGGTGTTTATCCAAGAGAATTGAAAACTTGTGTTCATACAAAAGCCCATATATGCTATTTATAGCAGCTTTATTCACAATTGCCAAAACTAGAAATAACCCAGATGTCCTTCAACAGATAAATGGACAAACAAACTGTGGTATGTCCATGTAATAAGGTTATCTACACTCAGCAGTAAAAAGGAATGAACTATTGGTTCGTGCAACAACCTAGACAAATCTTAAAAGCACTTTGCTAAGTGATAGAAGCTAGACCTAAAAATCTACATATTGTATGATTCCATTTATATGACCTTCTGGAAAAGACAAAACTATAGGGATGGAAAACAGATCAGTGGTTGCCAGGTTTAGGGAAAGGAAGTTTATACAAAGGAATTTTTAGGTTAATGGGGCTCCTCTGTATTGGTATTGTGGTGGTGGATACAGGACTCTGAATTTGTCAAAACACAAAAAACTATATAGCACAACCAGTGACTTTTATTGTATGTAAATTTTTTAAATTAACCATGCTGTCAGGGGAAGCCAGGATGGAATGCAGATTAAGACAAATAAACCTAACTATATTATAGATATATGATATAGCCTCACTGAAGGGGTGAGGGGAAAAGGAGCTGGCCTAATTAACTTTAGAAAACAATGTTTTCACTGAAGACTATAAGAAAGACAAAAACTACATAAACACTGTACTCTAGTTGGTAAATTCGTATCTCAGAGGAATATAGGTTAGCAATTCTGAAAGTACTTTAAATGTAGCTTGAACAAATAAGTCAATGTAGATAAGGAGGGACAGGTTTCTCATTATCAGAAAGGCTACAATGAATTCTGTGGTGCTGGATTAGATTTGGAGGTATAGTTTGAACTCTTGTTTATTTAAATATATATATGAGTAGATACACAAATAAATATAGATATGTGTATACATAGGCTAGCAGACATATATTTCTTAGCTCTGTCCGCTAGAGGGTCTAGAAGAATTGACACCCTAGAAGCAATGAACACACTTAGCACCCAGGTCTTGGTTTCTAAATATCATTCTCACTAGAAGGAACCAGAGCTCCTTGGAGAAATGTGCAGTTCTAGGGCTGGGGTAGGGAAAACACAGGAGGGGGGGCTTGACCATCTTGTAGATTTAAAAAAAAAAAAAGAAAGAAAGAAAGAAAGAAAAAGAAAAAGGAGGGTGGCAGGGGAAGAAAACACAAGAAAATATGAAGGTATGTTGAAAGGAGCCATCTAAGAGTTCCCAGGGGCAAAGCTAGAACAATTTCAGCAATAAAAATAAATAATTGTGATATAAATTTGTAACTCAACAAAATAAATATTCTTGAGTCCATACCAGTAAGTGAATAAAATGGAGGAGAGGGAGAAATCTTCCTTCCTGATGAATTCTGAATAATAAATATAGAAGAAATGAGGGGAAAACAAAATCACTACTAAGATACCACAGAACTGTATGTTAACTATACCTGAAATAAAATACAAGCTTAATTAAGAAAAAGACACCACAGAATAATTGCTGTACGCAAGTCCTAATGAGTGCTAAAATTAGTGGATGACACTTTAAAGAGAACTAAGATAGTTGCATAGCTTCAAAGATCTCCCCCCAAATATTTATACATTGCTATCATGACTCTGACACATGTCCATCCACAAATTAGTCAATACTTTCCCCAGAACTTAATTCCCCTCTCCTTCAGTCTGGAGTGTGGGCTGGATTTAGTGACTCTTTTCTAACAAATAGAATATGGAAAGGCCAGTGCAGGCGTGGGGGGTGAGGGGGGTGGGCGTGCAAATTTAGAACAGACACCATCTTAACCATGTGATCAAGGCTAACTGACCAGTAATAAGTCAAGTTGTTATATGATCAAGGAGAAGGGTACTTCACCTCTGTAGTATTCTTCCCCCAAATCCACAAAACCCCATTCTTACCATGAGAAAAAAAATCGGAAAATCCAGATTGCATAACATTCTACAAATACCTGACTTGAACTCTTAAAAGTGTTAAAAGTCACAAAATATAAGGAAACACTAAGAAACTGTCACAGATTAGAGGACACCAAGGAGGCCTGATGACTGAATATAGAATAATGGTACCTTGGATTGGATCCTGGTACAGAAAAAGGACATTAGTGGGGGAAAAAACGATAGCATTCAAAAAGTCCATATTTTAGTAAATAGTATTACATTGATGTTAGGTTCTTAGTTTTGATCATTGTATCGTGGTCATGGAAGATGTTAGCATTAGGGGAAGCTGGGTGAGGGATATATAGAGATTCTCTCCTATTTTTGCAACTCTTCTGTAAATTATTTCCAAATAAAATAATTTTAAAACATGGGTAAAGTGAAGACATCTAGCTTCATACCATTTAACGAAATATGCCTTGTTCCTTCTTCTGCAAAATGGGTATAACATTAAAGCATAAGCTAGTATAATTGTTCTGGGTATTTGTTTGTTTTTCTGCATTGTTTTGTTAACATATTTGATCAGTCTCCCTGTTAATCTGTATCATTTTGCCTGCAGGAAAATATATTTAAATCCTTTGTATCCACAGTGGATCTTAGCAGAAGGCCCAAGATAAAGGCAGGTTATTGATAATTGATCATTGATGATTGATGATATTGTTTCAGTGCATGTACTTATGCCATAAAAAGTTGTGCCCCCCAAATTCGTATGTTTGAACCCCCAATGTGATGGTATTAGGAGGTGGGGGCCTTTGGGAGGTGATTAGATACGAGGGTGGAGCGCTCATGAATGGGACTAGTGCTCTTACAAGAGAGACCCCAGAAAGAGCCCCTGTCCCTTCTGTCACGTGAGGACACATGGCAGAAGACAGCCGTCTGTGACCGGGGAAGCAGGCCTCACCAGGCACCAAACCTGCTGGCACCTTGATCTCAGACTTCCCAGCCTCCGGAACTGTGAGAAATAAATATTGTTGGTGCCACCCAGTCTACGGTATTTTTTTGTTAGAGCTGCCTGAAGGGACTCAGACTGTGGGATAAAGGCAGATGGTCCCAGGATCTAATTCTCCCACACCGGGTGACAGGATTGCGGGCAGATTCCTTCAGGGCTGTCGGGCTCACCCCACAAGTAACCGGTGTTGAAATTCCTGCCTCACAGGAGGCACCCAGTCGGGGCTCTCCAGGGACGCAAGGACAAGCCCCAGGAGGGTGGCAACCCCACCTGGTCGAGTAAGGAGACAGGAGGGTCACATACGAGGATGAAGACTTGAGCAGAACTGCATCTTACATACTGGCATGAGAGACTTCTCGCAGCCAGGAGGACAATGAAAAATGAAGAAATCAAAATGAGACTTTGTTACGAGAGCTACCACCAAGTAAGGAAGGGAAGCTCAACCAACCACAGTCAGGGGGCAGGCCCTGGAAAAAATAAAGCCCGCTCATGTTTATACCCCAATAAGCCGGTTATATTTACATACGTTCTCCCAAATTGGGAACGAGTAATAAGCTGTCGATCGTCCTGAACGAGATAGTAACCTTTCTGTTTATTTCTTGTTCTGAGCTTTTTTACAAACGAGTGAATGGAAGACTGTTTATGACATAATTCTTTCTTTCCCTTTATAGTTTTATTTTTCTCACATTAGCTGCCAGGACATTTTGAGTTAAATTGAATGCCCGAGTGCAGTAACTGGCTCATCTCCTGAGCCTGACAATGCCTAGCAGGAGGTAATTTTTTCAAGGTAAGGATGAGGAAGTAGATATGAAGATAACGAATCCGTTATGATTCCTTAATTAGTTAAATACAGTAAATTAATTATTCAAATTCATATTATATTGATTGGACACGATTCAGAACACTGTTTAGTATGAAATACAGAGTTTGCTAAGTCTCCTTCCCTCTTTATAATTCACCCTTTAACGGTGAGCAGAAGAAAAGATTTTGCCATCCCTCTGCCATGCCTCCTCCCTGAGCACCCCTTAGCATCGTGGTGCTTTATTATCATTTCTGGTTTCCCTGTGGGCTGAGGTCCTGTACTGAAGTGCAAATACTTCCAGAAACTCTGACTCTTAAACCAGTTGATAAGCAGGGATTACAGAAAGAAGGCAATAGTGTTCTAACACAAATGACCTACCACGTCCTTTCTTACTTCCCTTACTTCTTTATATTAGTTTTAACCACTTATGCTGAAAATGGCACAGCAAGAAAGGGGAAAATAAGATACCCATAGTTTTTTTTTTTTCCTTTCAGTCTTCCCTTCCTCATCAATAAGTTGAAGGTGGAGACTGTTGGTAGAATGTGGGCGTATCAAGAAGTGGAGTTAACGATTCTGTCATCTCCTGTCTCCCTCTTATAAGGATCCTTGCGATTACATGGTGCCCACCCAGATAACACGGGATAATCTCATCTCAAAGTCCTTAACTTAATCACATTGTAAAGTCCTTTTTACCATGTAAGGTCACATATTCACAGGTTCCAGGGATTAAGACATGAACACATTTTGTCCACCACAACTGCATAGCAGATCAGTATCTCTGATGACACACGAACCTGATAATATCTGAAACGGGTTATAAGACTCAAAGATATATGCACACACAGGTGCGTGTGCACCCACACACACCCCCTAGGTTTTAGAAGATGAGAGAGTAAGAAGAATGCTGTTAGGCCTGGTACATTGCTGATTTCCTGATTAACTGATTTAGATTGGGTACCCGATATAGCATTAATTTAGGGGAGGTGCTTCCTTTCCTGGAAGTCACAGCAACCATCAAAGCAGCACGCAGCCATAGAGAGCCACCAATGCTCTGGGAAATACCACGCAGACACTCAGAGGACGTCTCCAGGTGGCTAAATGTAGACAAGATTCCTAGGTAACTGGCACTCAGATGCTGAGAATCTCTGACAGAAGCTCAGGTTTGTCCCAGGTGTCCTGGAGAACTCGGCCGCTTTCTAAGAGGGGAAATCCATTCCTGATGATCCGAGATCAAGACATAATTCTTCAAGGGTATTCTAATTTTGCAGAATCTCACATGAAAAGAATATGTGTTCAGCTGCTGTTGAGTGGAATGCTCTGAAAATGCCAGTTAGGTCAAGTTGGTTGATAGTGCTCTTCAGGTCATCTACATCCTTACGTGCCTTCCATGGGTTCTAGCAATTAGAGAGAAGTGTTGAAGTCTTCAAATATGATTGTTGATTTGTCTCTTTATCCTTTCAGTTATACTCATTTTTGTCTCCACGTGTTTTGAAGTTCTGTTGTTAGTTGCATGCACATTTAGGATTGTTAAGTCTTCTTGCTGAATTGACTTCCATCATTATATGACGTCCCTCTTTATCGCTGGTCATATTCTTTGTTCTGAAGTGTACTTTATCTGACATTAATGTAAACACTACCCCTCCCTTCCTTCTTTCCTTTCACTTAAAAGTGTTAAAACCTTTTTATTGTGAAATAATTTTAGTCTTATAGAAAAGCTCCAAAAAATAATGCAGAGATTTCCCAAATACCTCACCAACCATTCCCTAATGTTAACACCTTGCATAACTTTGATATGATGATGAAAACAGAGCAACTAACATTGGTACAATGTTACTAACCAACTTACACACTTTACTGGGATTTTATCAGCTTTTCACCAATGCCCTTTCTCTGCTCCAGGATCCATTCCAGGATCCCACAGAACATGTAGTTATACAACTTCTTCGTCTCCTCCAATCCATGGCAATTCCTCCCTCTTGCCTTGTCTTTTGTGACCTATTATTTCTTCTAACATTTTTCTGCATCAGTCTGTCTCTTCTCTTCTTTGGAAATCCAATGGCATAAAAATTAGAACTTTTGTGTTTTTAAAGATTTTTATTTTTTAAGTAATCTCTACACCAAACGTGGGGCTTGAATTTATAACCCCGAGATCAAGGGTCGCACACTCTACCAACAGAGCCC